CACGAAAAAGCCCCCGATGCAGGCGATGGGCACCACCAGGAGGAAAAGAAGGAGCTGCTCCTCGCCGGTGGGATGGGGAACTGGGCTTAGGGTTTAGGCCAGGTATCGGCTGCACTAAAAGCCCCCCCCCCCCCCAACACACACAGCTGCCCACCTAAACCCTGTATGATGCTCCACTCCTGCGTGATCATAAGTTGCATTATTCGTCCGCTGCGGACTCTTGCGCCCACCGTTGCGTGTTCGGACGCCAACGCTTTGTCAATAATACATCGCCTCCGAGGTGGAGATCAACCCTCGGATGAGGACCTGGTGTCTACATGCTCGGTCCCAAACCCACCGAATCTAGGACCCTGCCATGAAAAGGCCCCATTCTCTAAAGAAAAGCTGTCCAAAAGACCTTAGCGCCACTTCTGCGGCTTCTTGGCTGAGCCCCAGGCATCGATACCTTCCTCTTCCTCCTGGGCTGATTACTAACCTTTGGTTAGTAGGCAATGGAGGAATGGGGTACAATTATAACTACTAGAACTACCATTCTTCCATTCCCTACTAACCAAAGGTAAGATTAGGGCTTTGTCTTTGTGGTTCGTCGGGGCGTGTCTTATGTTGATTGCTCAAGTACTTGGCAGTCTTTCGAGTATGCAGTGTAGCTATGAAAGATCCTCTCATCCTCGAGGACTCGCATGTAGACTGCTCTTATATACTTGAGGCATACCGCGGACCCTGCAATTATTCAGAAGTCGGAGAAGCACACTTGGGATCTCTAGAAAAGCTTTCATACTAGAAAATGCGGTCGTTAACCCTACGGACACAGAGGATGACTCTTAAGGTGGTCTTTCTCAGGTCAAGGTACTGTAAATCTTCCGCTTCTGGAGGGTCCCTTAAGTCGAATCAGAAGGTTGACTACTTGGACTCGGGCTTGGCTCGGGGCGTGGTGTTTAGTCCCGAAGCCCTATGTGTCAGACATTGAACCACCCAAGTCACACATGAAACACTGAACCTTGTACCCCGAGGTTCAAGCTAGACACCGCAAACCCTACATCTGGCATCCCTCCCCCCGGTTCTACAGTCCCAAAATAAGGTGATCCACAGTAGGAGCCGCGGATCTCTTCGTCAGGTCCCTACATCACACCCTGAAACTTCAGCCGTCCCGGAAGGATCTCTGATTGAGGATTAGGGTTCCTTGGTCATTAGTGACTTGTAGTGTTGGCATTGAGGGTTTAGCGACCTGGAAGGACATACAGTCATTTGTACTTGCTAGTATACCAGGCTCGTTGTCTTCAACTACGGCTCAGGGGCTCGGGCTTCGTCGCTTGTGGTTGATTTTTGGGAGAGCTTGGCAGCGGGACTGCTTTGAGAGTCCAAGGCTCAATGACTGCTGTCTGGTTGTCGGTATCATCCTCTTGCCTCCAGCCCAGCGGAGGTTTAGGGCTGCGGTTTTGAGGCTCAACTTTGGAAACCAAAATGCAGAACGAGCTGATTGCTTCGACAACGTTTGCGAGATTTCGGAGCGTCGGGCCTGCGGTATCTGAGTTCCGGCTCCTCACCAAAATCCGCTCAGCATTACTCAACTAGGCGGCAACTAGATTTTTTGGCTAGGGCTGATCATTTAGACCTGGACATGTAGCCCAAAAAGTCCGACAGGAGGTAATTAACAGATTGTCTCGACATGCCCGTGATCTAGAAGAGCCCTCATTCATCGACCGGTCCGAAATCAGATGCCAAGCTTCCCAGGACTGGTACGGCCTAAACATATACTTGCACAATGCTCCTACAAAACACTGACAAATTCTGTAACTCCAAACTTCCTTGCGCTGTCTCCAAGTGCGGCACTCTTCCGCGGGACCTCGCGCAACGAATGACAGCCTTGGCTCAGCACAGAACCGGATTTGGTCAATTGGGATTAAAGATTTACGGACCTTTTTTGGTTCCCTTTTGGATTAAGGTGTGTTGTGTTGGTTGCAGCTGTTTGCTGATGTTCTCATGCTCGGCATCTGAAGTATACAGTAGGTGCTGACCACGTTTCCTGCTTCGCTCCCTTCACTTGAGACTTGCAGGGAGTTGCGGAGGTCAAAGAAGGGTGCAATGTGTGGGATTCTGAGATTTGTTTTTGGTCTTTCCCTGATTTGACTGTAGGGCGTGCGCATTTCATTCCGCGGTGAATAAGTCTCAAGAGGAACGAACACGTCTGATGCTGTGTGGCCTGTATTCTTCACCTGCTCATGGGTATGTACCGGCATTTCAGAATGTGTATATGCGCATCTGTCCATCCATCCGGTAGTGGATCCACCCTTTAGTCTGAAAGAGTTCTTGATGTCTACTTGTCCCGCTCTCTGGTTCCATATCCTTAGAACTCACTCCCGAAACGACGCCAAACTAGATCCACGACCATACCTCTCAAGCCCAAACTGCAAGCACCCGCTATGCTAAGCAACATAGACACTGACGCACTTCCATACCCTGGACCCCGAAGCCTAGATTGAATGCAAGACCTGAAATGAACAGTTAAGATTTTATGGTAGATCCTGTTTGTTATAGTAGGTTATAGTAGACTATTGTACTCATAGTATCATATCATATCATATCGCCTGCCTTTAGGGCTAAGAGGCCCCGTGGATGTCGTCGTGGTGGAGGACAGGACGAGGCCCTCCGGAGCAGCCAAAGCTTCTGCAGCAGGCTGGGGCAGGGCCACCTGTCATGCTTTCTGGGTTGTTATGGGTTCAGGATTTTTAGGGTTTAGGGTTTTAGGGTTTAGGGTTTTAGGGTCTTAGGGCTTATGGGTTCTACGGTGTTCTGCTCTTCATTGTTGTTTATGTAGTAGGGTTTTCTGCTCTTCCTCGCTGATCTTCGGGTTTAGGGTTTAACTAGGGCCGGGGCTTCTGTTTCAACCGGTTGTTGAGGCTTCGAAGGGTTTGAGAGGCTCACCGAGCTTTAAGGTTTAGGGTTTAGGGTTTAGGGGTTTAAGTTTGAGGAGTGTTGCATGTCCTTCAATGGATTTTTTGGGATTCCTAGAGTGACTTATCAGAGCTCACGAATCTCGCAATCTCGCAAGTTGGCATTGGAACTGAGAAACCCGGACCTTGAGCAGCCCGGCTAACAGAAGCCTTTATCCTACTTGGTCGGGTATCATGGGGAACTAAAGGTTAATCTTCTTGGCTATCTAGGGATTATATAGGGACTATACTATCCGAAAAAGGTTAAAGGTTACCCGCTCTACTACTAGGGAAAGGTGCACTGTAGCCCTGCTTTGCAGAACTCGGAAACCGGACCTCGCGAGCTGCCGTCGTCGAAGCTCGAAGCACGGCGGGTCGGGCCTTGGCAGTTAGGAGGACATTTTGCGAGTCTTAGGGCTGAGGGTGGAAGTTCTGGTGCTTTTAACCTAAACCCCGCAAAAATCCTACTAAACCCTGGACCCCAAACCCTAAACCCTTAAACCCCCGTAGGGATGAAGTTTGTATTTAGGTTTTGGGATTTACTCAGGTCAAAGTTGTGAGCTTTGGTGATTTGGGCGAGGGGAGGGTCGGAGCTTCTCAGCTTCTCAGGGAAACGGCATTTAGGGCCTTCGGTGTTTGCGGATTTGATCTCATTTGGGTTGCGACCTGAGGGTCTGGGTGTCGAAGTACGATGACAGTGAATAGCATAGCAACGGAACTAAGAGCGGTGGATGCTGCTAGAAGAGTCAGTAAGCATCAACCGTACTTGGAGGATGCACGCGCCGGAAGACCGACTTGAATCGACGGCTCAGGGGTAACTCTAGTTGCAAACACACACATATGCATACCTCGCCTGTAACGGTAATTCGTAGGACCCCTGATCCTTCTAAGTATACACCATGACCGTACCCTAGAGTCTCCCTACATCCGAAAATCGAAACGAACCCTAAACCCTAAACCCTAAACATAGTCTGAGGCCGCTGGCCACAGCGGGCAGGGCCTGCACGACGGAGTCGCCGAGCTGGCCTCCGGGCTTTCCGAGGCAAGAACGGGCATGACACCATGTGGGAGTTTCCGAAAATTAGGGGTACCATATTTAGGGGCCCTTATAATAAGGATCCTACTATTTAGGGTACCATATTAGGGTCCCCTATTTTGGGAAACTCCCATGTTCGGAGCTTCATTTACCTTGGTTTGGACTTGGGCTTGGAAGTTAGGGTTCGATGATGCAGGACAGACTTTCTGGATTCTGGCTCTGGCTCAAGCGGCCGGCAGCTGTTCCACGTGCTTGCAGGGAGTTCGGGACTCCCGCCAGTGCTTCAGAAATCGACGCTTCTCGAGCAAAGCTGCCTAACCCTGAACCATAAACTGCAGAGGTGCAAACCCTGATCCGAATACTCTAGACTCTAGAGTGCCGACCCCACATTGCCATGCGATGAAGTTTTGTACCCTCAAAGCCCGCTTCAGAACCAAACACCGATTCAAGTTTAGAGCTTCTAGCTGGAGACAGTAAACCCTGAAGGTACTAGGACTCTGCATGCCGAGTATATAATGTAATACACATGCAGGGGGGGGTGTCGGCTTGAATGTGCCGTCTGTTTTCCTAGCCTCCTGCCAGGCCGTCTAAAAATCTCAACAACTCGGACTGAGGCATCGCCTCGTACAGAGGTGTCGAAGCCGAGAGTATACCCACAAGATCAAGAAAGATCAACAGCGTAATCTATAACAAGACCATGGGCTTGAAGTGCTCTGAAGGGCGAACCATTGAGCCGTCAAGGATTGCCGGGGTTTGAGGTTTCGGACTTCGCATGTGCTAGTGATATTATGTTTCGGCGTGCGCCACCAGGGTTAAAGAGGCGTAGGGCTATGTGCACTCTCCAAGTTTTTGAGCAGGTGCCAAATGGACTGAGACTGCTGCGCGAGCTCGTGGCTTTGGAAGGCAAACGACTGAGTTTAGTTGGAATGCTGCTCTTCCGCATAAGGTAGCATAAGGTTTAGTCAACCTCGCGGGAACACTAGAGCCAGCGAGCCCTGGACAATCAAATTTGGCAGCGTTGCTGTTCTGATTCCCTACGTTGCTCTAGCATGCCATTCCAAAAAGGCCTTAGCCTTCAACAGTCTCGTGTAGGAGAGCGAGATGGAAGAGAAGCGCCAGTGAGCAAGCCCCCATTGCAAGTTGGACAGGCACCGGTTATCAAAGGACTTGTGCTGAAGCATTCTCAAACAAGCCTGCTGCATCATGCGTTCGGCGTTGCCTCCATGCCCGTTTTCATCCAGCCAGTGATTGATGCGCCACGTTAACTGTAAGGAATCGTGTCTTCTAGCTTGTCCGGCAGGGGGTTCAGTTGGAACATGCTTCTTGAGAAAGGTTTCTGCCTTCAAGATGCGGGACCAGCCGATGCTAATGCCGACGAAGGGCCATGACTCGAGCCCGACAAGCACTTCTTGCAGCACCTCTGTGTCATCGACCCTTGTTAGGTGATCGATGGCCTCTCCGGGTTTCCTAGTCTCCGCCCTTTGGTAAGCGCAGTCTGCCAGCAACACTAGCAGCTTTCCGGCAATCTCCTCCTTCAACAGAAGGCTGGGATTCGCGGAATAGCACTCTGCCCCTGGCAACTCCAATCTTCGAATCTCGGACACCTGTGTGCCGGAAGGGCAGGTTGTCCGTGATAGCAGATAGATTTGAACAAGCCGATTGATGATTGACTTGTAGCTGACTAGCTCCTCCAAGATTGCATCGAGGGTCGCTGAATCCTTGCACTCAGGAAGAGCCTGCAAGACATCAAGGGCAATGGCAGCTGTTGTGGCATCCTCCGCTGCAGCGAAAGCATGCAGGAGCTGGATGACGTGCAGTTGTTGTTCGTCTGTCGGAGGAGCTGTCGGAGGACTATCTGTCACAAGAATACCTGCACATTGCGAAGTCTGACAATCCGCTGCAGCTATACCTTCCAGCACAGTTGGTGCGGCCCCTCATCGTGTTGCCTGTGCTGAGACAACAGCTTCCTCCAGCGGCACAGCAACTGGCTGGACCCTTTGACGAATTTGCGCTTGTGAGTCTTGATGGCTGGCCTTACCTGGTATTTCTGCTGCGAGCTCACTAGAGGCCGCCCTGGTCGCCACTTCACGGATATCTCAACCCGAATCATCCCAAACGCGATAGTCACTGCCACAGCTGCCATCAACAAAATCAGTGCTGCAACCATGATCTCAAACATTGTCGCAAACTGGGGCCTATCAATCTGAGCAAGACTTTGATCCTCGAAGCTGCTGCGAGGCTTCCGTGTCGGCAAAGCTTCCTGACCTCAAGCTACGGTCCTTCGCCGTCCATGAAGAAATCGCTATCAAATACAACCACCAACCTCACATCCCTGACCCTCATTGCTCAATTGAGCGAACCAGCTTTAAACTGTCTGAGCCGCAAGTTTGTGCGCTGTTTACAGCTTAACCCAAAGCCATGTGCAAACATGGGACACATAACTAACACTAGTCACCGTGCTACCTCCTTATACTCCGTAAACGTGATTGTGGTATGGTATACCCAAATGCTGTTCGGCCTGCAGGCAGCTGGTCAAGGGCAGCCAACACCTCTCGATGCTCGCTTTGTGCTTGAATGTTTGTTATAGGGGGGCTTTGTCAGTCTTCAGTAGTTAGTACTTTGCTTTTGAGAATGTTTTGATATGCCGACATCAAACAAACACTGATCCCCGAAACGTGAACCTGCAACCTAAGCTCCAAGCCATCGGACCCGAAAAGCCCCAAACCCGACATGTCTTTGCTGTTGCTATTGTCGTTGGGAGAAGGCTCGGAAGTTCGGAACGTCTTCGTGTCGTGAGTTCGAAAAGCCTTCGGGTCCTAGATTCCATCTCAGCTTCGGGTTCAGGAAGTTCGGCTTGTGGTGAAGAGTCTAGTGCCACTGGTGGCGGCCAAGCGGCTATGTCGTTTTCGAGGATCGATTTCGTGTTCAAGGGAGCTGCCCGTCTATCCGATTCTATCCTTGTCGCTCGGCTCCTGGGAACCAAACGATGCACCCCCGTGCCAGCATTCTGATGAGCCCGTGGCCCGCATCGTAGGCTAACCCCCTTAAGTGTTCAAGCTGCCAACTCTGAGACCGCCATCGCCAAACCCTCAGCACTGTTCCAAAAGAACACTACCAAGCACCACGAGGACTGCCTGCGAGGCGGCTGCGGTTGCCAGCTCGTTTGGAACGATCGCCAACTGCAGCTGCACCTTGAGACTGCAAAATTCGCGGTAGCGTTGAAGCATTGGTTAGAGCACAGGGTCTTAGTTGTCGGGGCCCAGGGCTTTCAGTTTAGGGTTTAGCGTTGATTGAATAGCCCCCCCAGATCTCTACAGCACGTTAACTTGGACTAATTTGCTAGGACCCCTGCGGAGTAGTGAAGATTCTCTCAAACTGGATCGGTTGTGGAGAGTACGTAACTGCTTTGTACCGATCTCTGGCAGAATGCCTTTAGCCAAATTCCCACACTTGCTAAATTAGAGACTCAGCCTGCTACTTCTTGCTGGTGTCGTGTGCTCTCTCTGCGTCCTGGTTTGGCTGGGCGCAGGCCCAGCGCTTTTTCTCAATTGTGTATTTTACCGGTGGTTGGGGGAGGAACCCTCAAAGGGATCCTGAACTCAGTCGCAGTCCTGAGGGACAGGGATGTCCTAGTGAGTGCATGTTAGGATGTAAGACTGACTTGACGACTCACAACCGGAAACTGGCACATCTCCTAAGTTTGCGAACCTGCACAACTCAACCAGGGCTCTGGGGCTTATCTACGATAAGTATACTCTGATCACATAATAAGAAAGGCACGAACGGTTCAAGGCAGGAGCCCTTCACTTCGGGTTCATGAGATCAGCAGTAGTGCTTTGTCTTTACAAGCCCAATAGTCTTCGACTGGAAATTATCAATACACGCACATGGTGCAACTTGCCCCCACGCGGCTTGAGATCCGCAGTGGCAGTATGCCCAGCATATTACATATGTTTCGCAGGCAGTATTCTGTCTCGGACAACGCCCTGAGAACCCTCCCCATAACGGTTACGGTGGCCTTTATGATGGCCCTTCCAGAAACCTTTGTGGCGCTTCTAGTTACTCCTGAATCGAAGGAATCCTTCTGGCGAGCCTCGAAGAAGCCCTCAAAACTTTCGCTCAAAACGTTTCAGTCAAAACGTTTCGGTCAAAACCCCGGACCCCAACCCTATACAATTTCCATAAACCCTAAACCCTAAACCGGAGCCCTTAAGTGAGAATCTTTTAAAGCCCCTGTTCCAAGGCCTTCCAGGCAGCCGGCTTCAACTCCGCGACACTCTGCACCTCCAAACTTAGAAGAGCTCCTTGAAGGGTTTCTCGAAGGATTACTAGAAATTGCTGTTCAGCGGCTATTCCAATACTAGAAGAAAGGCTGCTATTAAAAAAAGCTCCATATACCAGAGCAAGGGTTACCACTATTTGCTGCCAGGGTTTGGGGAGTTTAGGGTCAAATTTTATCCTGAGGCTTTTCCGGTTCTTCTGGAGTTTGCACGTAGAGGATGTCCGGCTTTGGGCTTTTAGAGAGTGGGCTTTAGGGATTCTTGTTTTTTTTTCTGGAGATCCGACCCAGCAATTAAACGCAAGGTGCCCGCTTCAGCGGGATCATGACAACAACCCTAATTAGAAGACACTTCCGTGCCGCCCAGAAGCTTCGAAACTCTTTCTTGGCGCCCGGCCTTTGCAATACCTAAACGTAAATCCTTAAACCGAAACGGAGTCTGGTGAGCCTGGTGTCATCAAAGGATAACCGGAGTCTCCGGGCACTCCCACAGCAGCCCGAAACCTCAGGCCCGACACCAAAAGTCCCAATCCGAAATCCCCCCCCCCCATAGTCTCTAAAAGCCCCGGCCCCCGTGATCCCTAAGCCCGAAACCCTACATGATGGTCCCTTCCGCGCTGAAGCTTCTTGCGCCCTGACCTGAACACCCACCAAGTCGGCAGGCGCCCGCGCAAAACCAACAATGACCATTCTGCACACACGAAGTACAAACAACAGCAAACAGAACACCTCACCACGGTCTGGCACAGGTTGAGAGCAACGGTCTCGACACAAAGCACCAAAGCATGCAACCGCAGACCAAGAAGACCTGGCCAGATAGAACGTACGAAGCCGACAAGCAAACTCAAAGCCCGGAGTGCTGAAGTTCAAAGCTTAAACCGCCAAACACTGACAACCCAAACCCCGAAAGCATCCCCCAACTCTTAGTATAGACATTGGCAATAGGAGCAGAATCGTGGTTATTTGTCGCTCTGTAAGTGTCAGGGGTCTCTGAAAGAAAATCTTGCAAGGTACGCCGCTTCCCCGACCCTGAACCCTTTATCTGGGAACCGCACTCGCCGCCCGCCCGTGTTGGTGTCTTGCTCGGCGAGTTTCCCGAGGATGTGCACGGCCCTAGGTGCAACAGGTTGTGGGCTTCGGGTGCTGCGCACGTCAGTGCCGGCTCTATGGTTTTGGCGTTCTCTCAGGAGTGTTGGTGGGAGTAGCGTAAGGCTTTGCGCGGGTCTCCAAGATCATTGCAAAAGACTCTGAGCTTGTCATTCTTTTAGCGTTTTAGCGTTTGTAGCTTTAAAAATCAAACGAGCCGCAGTGTGGAGGCTTCTTCTGTTTGGGAGTCTCCTGGGGGAGTTTAATTAACTCTAAACCCGAATAGGACTATGAAACCCCGTAAACTCCATTAGGTCCCTCCAGCACCTCGCGAATATTCCGGAACTCTTGACTGAGGGCTGGTCAGCGGCGCGGTCGCCTGGCAAAGGACAGTGGGTTTTGGCTTCAAACTTCTGCTATGAGGGATGCCGGGCCAGCTCTAGACTCTAAACCCTAAAGTAAGTCTGCGATTACGATCCCAAGAGCTACCTTTGGCAACCCTCGAGCTTTAGCTCCCCCAAGCCCAAACCCCAAAAAATGAAGAGTTAGGAGGTCGTCTACATAGAGGCCGAAAAGCACGAAACTCAGAAATCTACAGTAAGGAATCCTTTGAGGACTCGGGGCCGGGATAAGAGCTGAGGTTTCGGACTTAGGAACCAACTAAATATCGTTATGGTTTGGGGCTACCTTGCTCAGCAGGAGCTTTTTGAAACACCAACCCTGCATTGCCTGCATGATTGACAAGTTGATTCTCGTGACTCGCTCGATCGAGAATGGTTCTGCAACCTTCTAATGTCTGTGCGTCTGAATCAGCAAGCTTAGTCCATAGACTTTGTTCACACAAACCACAAGAATCCTCCACCCTCTAGCCTCAAATGCCAGGCCCGAAACTCCAGAGCCTTACATCAAATTCGAAATCGCCAAGCGAGTCCGGAGGTGCCGGGGCCGCTTGTATAAGTAACCGCTGCATGGATAGCTGAAGGGACCCCTGACATTCGGGGTGGCTTACGGCTCCGGGTTTAGGGTCTAATGTAGAGATTACGGTTTGCGGGATCTGGCTTTGGGAGTTCGAGTTTAGGGAATGGGATGTCTTGGGTGTAGCAACACAGGGTCAGGATGTTGGGGGTGATAGCTTTAAAATCTAGTTGTGCCTACGAAAGTTAGTGCATATCTGTCGGGATTTGAAGAGGGTTGCTCTGGGTATGGTGCAGAACTTGAGTCCTGAACAGATCGGAAGTTAGAGGCTCTGGTTTCAGCACTTACCAGACACAAGTACTACTCTACATCCCAACCTATAGAGTCCCAAAACATGAACCCAGCATAAAACCGGAACACCCTTGTAGACAGCGAACTGCCCCCACCCACCCCGGCACCACAGCCTCGGCAAGGGAGGTCCAATCCTGTAGGGCGGGTGATGGATTTAGGGAGTTTCGGGGTTCAGGGTTCAGGGTTCCGGCTTTTTGCAGCTGAGGTTTCCACTGCGGGTTGGACCCCTCAGGTTTTCAGGGGTTTAGACAAGAAGTCAAGAAGTCGAAGGGCTGGAGCGGTTTAAGCAAAGTCGAACATCATCGAGGTTTCACGGAGGGACGCACTCCAATGAGACAGTGCCGACAGCAAAAAAAACCAAAAACAAGGCACTGAAGCCCCAAGCCTCAAGAGCAAGCTCCCAGGCCCTGAAGCCTGAAACCGGAACATGATCCAAACACCTGTGCCTAAACCCACAATGCAAAAGGACTAATCCAAAAAACTACTAAAAACAAACTTAACCCAAAACGATAGAAAGCCCCCCCATAAACCACCCGTTTTTAAGCCTCCAGGGTGTAGAAGACCCGGAGGTCGCCGCTGGGCTCCAGCAGAGTGCTCAGAGTAACCTTTTTCGGGGAGGGTTTGGGGTGTGAAGGGCGGTTTAGGGTTTTGGGTCTATAGGCTGAATAAGGGTGGCTTGAGGGTTTATGCGGCCTGCGGGTCGCAAAATGGCGAGGTCTGAAACATTGGCCATCTTATCTCTGTGTGCTACACTACGCATCAAACCTCTAGAAGCCCCAAGGATTAAGGTTCGAGTCAAAAGATATGTGGGGGTTTCTTGAGTTCGGGTTGATGATGTGAGAACTCTGCGTTTCCGACTTCGAGTCAGGCCGCCTTGAGGACAAGGTTGCCCGGAACCCAAGTTCAACCCTCTCTCTCTCTCTCTGTGTCTCTCTCTGTCTCTCTCTCTCTCTCTCTCTCTCTCTCTCTTGAGGGGTTTAACGTTTAGGGTCTCTCTGTCATCAAGCGAACTTGACAATGGGAGTCGAGCAATCAAGCTATAAACCCTAAACCCTAAATACAATACTTCGCTAAGCCTGATGGACAAGATCCTGCATGACCTGAAGCAGGCCAATCGATGAAAAGTCTGGTATGTCCATCAGCAGCAACGCTCTGAAATTCGGGCGTGGGGCCAACCAAAGAGAGCTGCAGTCAGTCATCCTCAAAAGGTCAGATGGGAGTTTCCGAAAATTAGGGGTACCGTATTTTGGGGTCCTTATAATAAGGATCCTACTATTTAGGGTACTATATTAGGGTCCCCTATTTTCGGAAACTCCCGGATATGACAACCAAGCTTGCTTTAGATTTCCCTGGTGCGACTTTGCAACCCTAAGCCCTCTATCCTCAATGCAGCTCTCCAAGGGTTGGCCTTTAAACACCCTGAAAAATATTTATATGTAGGGTCCCTTATAAACCCAAATAAGGAAAATAAAAAATGTCCCAAAATCCAACCTAGCTCCTCAATTCAATCCAAAGCCGACAACGATGCCTGAACGTGCTCACCCCACAGGGGGTAGGTGTTTTGATGGCTTTAGTCAGGGCTTAGGATATGAAGTTGGGCGCTTAGGACTTTGAGTTGCAGGGTGGTTGGGCTTTAGTGCATCTGAGGTTTTGGTTTTGGTCCTAAGGCTTTATGAGGCTTTCAGAGTTGAGGGTGTTGTCAGTCGTGGGTTGATCAGCAGAAACTTCACAAACGCAGCCGGGGCTGAGACGGCAGGAACTGTTTCCACCGTTGTTCCGTTGATTCCCAGCATCTGCAGGAGCACGTGAAAAGAGTGGGCTCTGGACGCTAGAGTTCTTGCTTCTGCGGTGCTAGGATTCAGCTCTCCAGGCATTGAGCTGCAGGACTATGCAACGATGTCATCACGAGTACACAATGTACTACGCCACTGTGGCGACAAGACTCTGGGACGACTACTTAGCCGGAAAAAGCTACTTGCACAGCATATTGACAAAGGAGAACTAGCCCTGTCGGAAGGCTCAGGGCATAGGAAGTTCACGGTCGGTATCACCGCCATAAGGGTCGCCATGGCAGTATGATGATGACAACGATAGCCGTGACGATGATCATGATGGTCATCATCATCTCCATTGCTGTGATCATCATTTCGTCATCGTCATGACCACTAGTGACTCGTGTTGTCGATCGTAAGGCATCATCACCATCTCTGTACCCATCACCACCTATGTCACCAACACGGCCTCTGCCGTCACTCAATCAGTTTAGCCACACAGTGTCCGACTGAACCGGGCGATGCCTCCGGCGGCATGCACAACGGCACCTGCAGGCTATGCTTGCAGGTTTTGGTACGGCTTGGCACAGTGTAGGGTTGGGGTTGGAGATGAGGTAATCGGGGCTAGGGTTTGAAATCAACAGTCCAGGTACATGGAAACTTACTTTGTATCTCCATGCTAGGTACTCACTTCAGTCATGCAGGCCGTGTTCCTGGCGCAGCCCATCCACTGATAAGGACCGGCCTTCGCTATAGCAATGCAACAGCAGACAGAAGCGCACAAAATTCTCGGACCCGTGTTGTGCAACGGCTTTGTGTATGTCAATGTAAGGGGGTCTTCCCCGACCCAAAGCACAGAAACACAACCCAAAAAGTTGAGATGTCTTAGATTGGGGTTGAGAAACCCCTAATATCCTCAACCCAACACGGTACACCCTCTACTCAAACCTCACGAGTCTCCAAGAAACCTCGAACCTGTAGGTGTAGCTGTACCGCTATACTATACTTCTGAAGCACCCCAGAGTCCACACCTCAGCGGTGTCAACCACGCCCTGATCCGCCGGATGTTCTTGTAGGGACAAGGGGGACCCCCACAGTTGGAAACCATCACATACCAGTGCACCGTAGACCCTGAAACTACAACTCTGAAGCGGCCTCCATAGTAGTTCCTTTTTGGGATTACCTTATAGGATTCTATATATGAACCCCAAAAAGGAACTACTTTGGAGCCTTCCTTAGGGTAGACCCTAAACCTACATTTTTAAGGACTTATATAAAGAAATCATAATAAGGAGCCCTAAAAAGCTAGGTTATTCAGGGTTAAGGTAGACCCTAAACTTCGGGTTTAGGATATATGAGCCCCAAAAAGGAACTACTTTGGAGCCTTAGGGTAGACCCTAAACTTCTTAAACCCGAAGCACCTCCACCCATCGCTGAGCTGAGCAGCGGTACTGGAACAGGGGCTGCCTGGTGGCGGGTCCCACTCTAAGCAAACATAAGCAAATGCTTACTGTTAGGGTTTAGGGTTTAGGGCTTAGAGTTTAGAGCTTAGGGTTTAGGGTATCCTAAGCAATGTTAGACACGGGTTGATAAAGGCTTTGAAATATGTCGTTGTTGCACAAGCATCTCCATGATATGAGAAGGTTTAATCGCGCCTGTCACCACACTCGCACCAACCCTACCCTCAACCCCAAGCCCTAACCTGTAAACCCTCGGCGCTAGATCCGGTTTTGGGTACAGACTCAGGACATCCTCAGGTCTAGACCATGGCGGCTGGCATTCACCTGACAAGCAAGCTGGGAAGGGACTCTGGGCTTGTAATACACTGGGCTGAAAACGCTGTTGTAGAACCCTATGCCCTGTAATATGGCAGGCTTTGATACTCGGAATGGAGCTTCGGGGAGTACGAGTATACCGAGTATACTATATCTACGATACGAACTCCAGGATTTGGTGTTCGTATGGTTTAGGGTTTGGGGTTTCGGGTGTGGGGGGATGGTTGGCCCCCGGAAGAGTGAATCACCGTTCTAGCAAGGCCCCTCTAAGACTCTAAGAGGGATCCCAACTCAGAGAGCTACGCATGAAAACCCTACACCCTAAACCCATCAAATTCCTACAAGGGATTCGGCAGCGCTCTCAGCTGAGAGCAAGCTCTGATGCTGTCAAGTCAAGTCGGCCGGAAAAGTACGAAGCGTGGTCCGACGGCTTTAGGCTTCAAGGTGCTTTCTGCATGGTCCGTCACAGGTGCCAGTTTGGGTTTAACTCCAGCTTCTACGAATATCCCTACAGAAGCGACCGTGAATATGTCTCAAGAAACATAAGGCTTGGGGATCGGGGCTAAATATTTTGTTAGCAGTTATGCTCGTTTGCATAACGGTGACGACTGGTTCAGCTATGTGTGATGGCTGCGATGGTCATGGCGATTAGCCTGACATGTCGCCATTCTCCTTCCGATCGTAGGCATTGTTGCCACCATCGCTCACTTTACATCTTCATGTCAGCAAGCTTTCTGCCACCAATCTTGAGCTTGAAAGCCCAATGCAAGATCCCGAAAGAGGCGCGAGGCCCGACTAAAAAGTGGAATGCTCCAAAACCTGCGACACTTGAGGCACAAGCTCTAGACTCTAGAACCTTCCAAACCTAAACCCGAAAAAGCTCCACCCAAAAGGCCTGCCTAGCCCCATCCCAGCCTGGACAAGTTCCACCGGATGGAAGGCCACGGCAGGCCTACTCAGGACCGACAACTAAACCCTTAAGGCCCAAAACACCACCTACGTCCAACACCAAAACGCCTGAAGACCCATATACCTCTTAAACTCTCCAAAACGCTGCAGCCTGAACCAAACCGTTCCCCAAACACCCTGGATTTAAGGTTTCGGCACTACAGTCTGTAGATTTCCGGCATCAGTTTAGCAATTTCGGGCTAGGGGCTTGAGGACTATGGGGTGGGATGTTAAGTACTATATGAATCCCCAACAAATTCAGAATTCCAACTCGGCTTTGGGTCGGGAGCTAGTGTTTTCCAGGTGCTTTCGGTTCGAGAGTGGTGACGATTCTGTTTTTGCAAGCCTCAGGGTTTGGGGATTAGGGGTCAGGGTTGCAGTTCGGGGTTTGGGGGTTTAGCGCTTTAAGGTCTAGGATTTGCAACCTCAGGCTGTAGGGAGTTAGGGGCTTAGGCGGTGCAAGTAGGATGAAGGCTTCGCGGTGTAGGGTTTCTGCGGGGCGGACATCGGCTTGTGCTTGACGCCAGCTTGCTGATCTACTGCATCCATCAGTCACCTGCTTACGTTACCAAGGTGTCTGCTAGGATCGCCGCAAAAATAGGTTGTAGGGTCACAACCTCGCATATATCAGCACAATCGCGGAACGAGAGGTTTCAAAACAGGTGCACCCACAAACATACTTGCGTCCATACGCATGCATGTACGCATTCATACGTTGCAACATACATACATCGGCGCATGTAACCATGCATGATCCGGTGCAACTCCTCCGAGCAGCTTGCTCTGGCCGGTAATAACATGCCGATGCCCAGGTACAAGCCAGAAGACGATTAACGCATACATGTAATGGACATGAAATCCAGCATTTAGGGTCTGGCACTGTTGTCTTGACTTGCTCCTCCCTTCATGTGGCCAGACTGCGAGAACAGGTGCCTCTCAAGTAGCCCAGCGTGACTGACAGCCATCCAACATCCAAACTCCGAACACTCCAAGAAGCATTACGGAAATAGTGAAAGACGTACAAAACCCAACAAAACCACGGTAACCCACGCCCTGAAAGTCTCGTGACGCCCGAACCCCAAAACTCTAAGAAAACCCTCTGCAAAACCCTAAACCAAGCCTTAGAAAGGTCCATTCAACCCGAAGTCCCGAAGCCCTGAGAGCCTCGGGTGTCACGGCATTGCTCAGCGCTGGTGGCTCTCCGCAGGGCCCAGGCGTGCCTTAGTGCTTTTGTATACAATTGCTACTACTACTACTGGTAATATTATTTCTGTGTAGTTTGCTGACTGTCGTTGCTCGGATTACCGGTTAGTTGTTTCTTGTAACTACTGCTGTTTCCGAATATTGTGGCTGCCAGCTCTTTTGATTTGATGAGTACTCTGGTTCGACCATGACCATCATCAATAATGTCGTCACGAAGACTAACTTGCAAGGTCAATGAATCTCAATAGGCCCCTATCCTCATCCAGTCGTCCTCTGACATCAGATTCGGCGTGGCGTGAGGCCCTTCAACGGCAAGCCCTGATTTCGATCGTTGGGAAGTGTGTTGGAGGCTCTTTTGGCAAATGGACGTTCAGGCTGCCGGTGTACAGCTATGATTGGGCTGTCTTTCATCCCAGGCGCAGAAAAAATATTCATTACACTTGAACCTCACTAGTCTCTAAACTGCACATCCTAAATCCGAGCAACCTCGGCAGTCAAGAAACCCGCCCGAACCCCTTAATTACTGTAGACCCTGTGTAGTTCGCAAGGGTCCTCCGACACCGAATGCCTTTCTGCTGGCCAAAGGACAGTCTGGCGCGGCAGCACCAGGGATGGGTGTCCACTGCCTGGGTATATGGGAGTTTCCGAAAATTAGGGGTACCGTATTTGGGGTCCTTATAGTAAGGAGCCTATTATTTAGGGTACTATATTAGGGTCCCCCATTTTCGGAAACTCGCATATGGGAACTCAAACCCGATCATAGAAGGAAGGGTAGCACCACAAAAAAACACTACCACCTTCCACCTGGGGATTGTTGCAACCGTGAGTCCTTACTAGGGCCCCCAAACAGCACATAAGCAAAAACTAGGATAGTGATATCCCATATAAACCCCCTTATAATGAAGCCCATTAAGGTAGGGATATCCCCAGAAAATGCTTATGCTTATGTGCTTTTGGGGTCCTGCAACAGGTCAACACTTCTGAGGCAGTACGTCGAAGTATCACTGAAGGTTGGACATCCAAACAAGAAAGCTGAAAAAAAACTCTACAATGGCTGTACATATAGGGGACCCTAAAATAGCACCTTAAATAGTAGGATCCTTACTCTAAGGACCCCCCCCCCCAAAAAAAAAGGTACCCCCTAATTGTAAGAACCAGCAGGAGCGGCCCAGTCTCACCGCATTGGTAGCCACTTTGGCTCAAGTAACCCGCCGGACAGGCCAGCGGACCTTGACAGGGGTTTAGGGTTTAGGGGACTTAGGGTTCAGGGTTTCAGGGACTTAGGGTATAGGGTTTAGGGGACTTCAGATCTCTGATGGACTTGGGTAGTTAAGTGTAGAGTTCGGGGTGGCTCTGACCACTTCGGGGGATTAAAAACCAAACATCTGTCTTTAATTTAATTAAAAACACGTCTGTTTTAATCAAAAACAGTTTACAAAAAAGTGCAGGGTTTCGGAGATCGGGGTTGCACAGGATGCCGTTTATACAACACCCAGACCTTGTAGAATGGTAAAGGTTGGGTACTGCTCCCACACAGTAACAGTCTATAACAGGGCTACTACTAAGGTCCTAATATGTCTATATTATGAATATTATCCAACTGTTACTGAGTGGGGGCAAAGGATCCAAAGCTGGAAATCTTGAAAACAGGCCCCGTCTTAGCCCAAACCAGCCCTTAGGATGTTCAATTTGTGTTGGATCCTTGAAAGTCTGAGTGGTGGTCTCAGGAGCCTTGAACCTGCGGCCCTACACTGAGATCCTACGCCCGAAATCCTAAACTGAGGACGCTAAGCCCTCAACCTAAACCTGAAACCCAGCGCCTGGGAACTCCTTGTTGGGATTTCGGGTTGTCGGGTTTTGGACTAAGGTGTTCTGGGTTGTAGAGTTTTAGGGTTGGGGTTTTCGGGTTTCGGCATTGTTAACGGCTTAAAGTTCTTCTGGCGTTGGTTTGGTTTGCTGTCGATACCGTATATACAATAGTTTTGCTGTGTTTGTGCCCCCGCTCATAGGATTGCCTTGTTCCCGTTGCTCCTGCTATTCCAGCTTCCGGTAATCGGCCGAAAGAAGGAGCGGTCCCTGGTCATGTCAAGCTTCCTGTTATGGCTCTTCTGAGCTTCTTCTGGTCGCTGCTTGTTATTCTGACCACGTCTGCTGCTGAACACCCTAATCCGCAAACACGATGAAAGCACCCGATTAAGCCAAACCCTGAAATCCTAAACCGTAAATCTCAACCTCAACTCTGAGACCCCAAAAAGTTGAACTCCACACGCTAAGCCCTTCGGGGAGTTTCCGAAAATAGGGGACCCAAATATGGCACCCTAAATAGTAGGATCCTTATTCTAAGGACCCCAAATAAGGTACCCCTAATTTTCGGAAACTCCCTTCTGAAGAGCTTCAAACCGCCAATCCGTGCAACCCTTCAGTCAAGGGCCAGACAGGTAGAGCCGACAGCGCGGTCAACGCACTCAGTCGCGTAGCCTCACAAGGCTTAGGGCTTAGATGGGGCTTACGATTCTATACTGAACTTAGAACCCTAGCAAAAATTATCAAATTAGCTGTTTCTTAGGGGTTATAATAACCAAAAATTAAAATTCATTTCTGAGCACCCCTAAGCATTGAGGGTTCCAGGATTCAGGATCAGGAGCTCAAGGCTTGCAACTTTGCGCTCCAGGAATTAGAGGCTCGTGGCTTAGAGGAATTCTTGGTGTAGCGAAACTGAGGTTGCACTGTTTCCGCCGGGCTGATGGGTTGGGTCTCTTCTCATGCTGAAGATTTGGCAGGTTGCTATGGCTCTGGTGGCGTAGACTTCTCAAGGGTTCATGGGTTCGAAAATTTGGGCTGCAGCTTACGCTATGCATCGGAGTCCCGCTGTTCCAACAACTCCAAACGAGCAAATCCTGTTCCGTCCCAACAGCTCCAATCGAGCAGAGCTTGTTCCGAATTGCCGACTGCGTGCTTATGATTATTACCTATTACTAGTAGCAGTACTGTTCTCGTTACCATGACTGTGCTGCTTCTTCTTCTTCCCCTAAACCCTAAACCCTAAACCCTAAACCCTAAACCCTAAACCCTAAACCCTAAACCCTTCTCCCTTCTTCTTTCGTGTCCTCCTGCCCAACATCAACCTCGGGCCTGAAGTGTTTGGAGACACTCGGGGGCACAGCTGCTCCGCGCAACGGACCTGTGGCACCAGCGAGGGCAGCTTAAGAAGCTTCGGGTTCGGTGTTCAGGGTTTCGGGTTGGGTTGAGGGTTCAGGGGGGTTTAGGGTTTAAGGGTGGTTTATTTCGGGTTTAGGATTCAGGGTAGCTAGGGCTTAGTGACTTAGTGTGGGGTAGCAGAGGGCGGGATCCACTGGATTTTGACATTTCACAAACAACCATAAAGGGCTCAATACGAATTCAAGCTGGAGCGCATCGACGCAAACGCCTTGAGCCTTACACCCTCTGACCCTGAAGGCCCACCAACCTTACAGGCAGTGGGATTTCCACAGACCGCTCCATAGGTCCATAGGTCTGTTTGGTAGTTAGCATCTCTTCCTGCTCCTGCTGTGGGTCTTCGGGACTTCGTTTTTAGAATCAAGCTACTAGGTGGGGTTTTGATCGCGTGAGGAGAATTTATCGTGTATTGAATACACGATTCAGAGCCTTCAATCGTAAAAGGAAGGGGTTCAACCCCAAGCCTCATGCCCCAATAATGACACTCGCAATAACAAGGTAAAACATATTTCGTACGTACTTGTTGTCCCCAGCGAGCTTCCCGATGCCTCCGAAGCATCCGCGAAGGGCTCGGGCCTTGTCTGTTAGAAGGGTTACGGTTACGGTCTAGGAACTGGGGGAATTGCGGGCTTCGGGCTCAGAGTTTGGGGCGACAATCCACTAGCAAGCGCTGTACCACAACTTAGAATCGCAAGACACGATTACACGATGAAATTTGCATCCTTACTTCCATATCATGATACCGGATCCCAATTACTGAACTGTAACGGTTGTATGCTATAATGAGATGCTATGGCTTGACGGTCTTGACGAAACCAAGCCACGAGCATTCGCGCCCATCCACGGCATACCGACACCCAAACTCCTTTGCCCTAGAGCTCCCTGATACCCCAATCCTGAACACCTCAAGCCAAACCAGCACAACCCTGCTGCACCCTAAACACAGTCACCTTAGTCCCTCTGAAACTACAATCAAGCAGCACATATCTGAATTTGGCCTCAAAGCAATACAAGAACAGTATAGATTCACTTGCAAAAATATCTCTAAACCTGAAACTGTGAAACGCCCACTCCTTCGAACCCTCCAAGTTGGATGCCTCCATGCGCCGTCCGTGCCGCAGCGGAATCGGCCCGTCAGAGTGCTCCCTGGTGGGCACGCTACGGCCTCGGGGAGGCTTTCGGAGATGCTTTCGAATATGAAAGGCCCAAACGCCTAAACCCTCAACTCAACGCCAGTTGGGCTTCGGGCATGAAATTTCAATAATAAGGAATTCAAAGCTTCAGGGGTTTGGGAGGGGAGTTCAGGATTTCGAGGGTTGTGCGGCCGAGGTTTTCGAGGTCAGACTGCAAGTGTGGTGTTCAGGGTATCAAGCTCTGTGGGCTTGGGGCTTCCAAGCCCTCAAGAAGCCAACTCTGCCAAACACTGAAGCTCTAAACGCGAAACTCTAAGTCCCCAAAACAGCACCTCCAAGTCACGAAACCCCAGAGATCAGTTTGTTGAAAAACTCATTTCAACGTGATCTCATGATTCGGGTTCGAAAAAGGCAGTCGCAAAACTCAGTTGCATCAACCTCAACCCCTAGGCATCCCCAAGAACATCTCAAACCACATTCACACGAACCCCAACATGTGTGAAACAACCGGCATCGAAGAGCCAGTTGTCCTCTGAGCACCGGGCCGTGCAGACAGCGCCAGCCCTAGCTGAGGCCTTCGGCGATAGCAGCGGTCGGTGCTTTGTTGCTCAGTGCATTTACAAGTTCGTGGACAATACATCTCATGCGCTTGTTTTTTTACATGTTGTTTGTCTAGATTGTGTTATGGCTATGACTTACGGGAATCAGCCGCCGAAAGAATGCGAGGACAAAACGGATTGCTGGCTAACACATCGGTGCATAGCAACCACCTATATTCGCAACCAGTATGAATCAGGTTCAGGGCCGCTTGCAGTTTGTTGATATCTGGGGCATCTAGGCCTCATTTTGGCTTCACTTTTTGATATTGTTTGCGCAGTGAAGGTATCCCCCATGAGTCCGCATTAATGCGATTGTTAGCATTATCAGTCTTACCTCACCCGGAAGTTTCGACTCTGCACAGACGGCTCAAGCTTTTAGCCCTCGTGCATTAATTCAAAAAGTTGAGGCATCAGCTGCACTCAACCTCGATAAACCAAAGCAGCGGACAAACTATCATGATGTATAGTATAAGGTAAGTCAACATGTCTTATGGTGTATTATCGTGTAGACCACATTAGAGTACACATGTTCTTTGTAGCATATTCAGATATTTTACAATACAATAGAAGTATACTGTAATATAACAACACACAGTCTGATATGAGATAGTACAATAATGTATGATGGAACACTGCATTATTTCATATTCTTTCAAATCCAGAAAATATTCAATATGACAGAGTACAGCTTATCTAAATTACATCATTTAAGTGTAGTACATGCCAAGATAATATAAGATATACATGAGTAAAAGCTCATATATTGGTCCGCGATATGGCGAATCTCAGGCAAGCGGCACAGCTGGAGGTGTCGATTTCTGCAGCCTGCAAGGAGGCTTGTAAGGATTCAAAAAAATCGCGCGTGGGGGCGCTGCGTTCGAAGCTGTGACAGAAGACCAGAGCTTAGAGCTTGGGGTTTTCTCTTCATGCTGTTTTGAAGCCATGGATTCCTCCTTCGGCGTCCTCCATACAAGAATCCGGCTAGATCATCTCAAGGTCCATCGTGCAGCTTAGACTGGAAGCTGGTCGAGGATGAATTCCGAGAGAGTGAGGGTTTCAGGGGTTTCGGGTTGTGGGGGTTCTGGGGATGTACACCTGTCAGGGCTACAGTGACCCTCCATCTCGGGACTAGAGTGACTAGAGGATCCCTGACATTCTAGGAGCAGCTGCGGGGAAAAGGATACCGGGCTTAGGGTCCAGATGGCTGTTAGTTTGTAGAGCTTCGGCTACGGGGTTTCGTGTTGCGATGTACGCAAACGCCCCCTCGGCCGAGCTCCGGACATGAGAGCCCAAACCCTGCGAACGCAGGCCCCCTTTGGGGTGGGGGTACAGAAGTCGAGAAGTCCCGTTAACGTTGCGGAAACTAGGTAAGGTCAGCCCGGCTGGGCTCCGCTTAAAAATTCAACCTCGGAGTATACCACTACAAGCAAGCCGAAAAAGAAATCCAAGCATTAATCCTGCCTCCTGACGCATCCAGAATGAAAAATTCTTACCTCAAGCATTGTAGAGCACAACTTAAAATGGAGAATGTCAAGTAATTTATAGTATTACTACAGTATGATCGGTACTACTATTGTTATTATTAGTAGCATTAATGAGTACGGTTCAGATTTTAATTTGTTACGTTACTATCACTAGTCTTACTACTACGGCATGAAAAGCCCAGGGCAGCGAAAGGCCTCGTCGGAGCCTGGCACGGCCGGCAGAGGAAGACTGCAGCGCACCTCTTCGCAGCTTGGCCTTGGTCTTAGGGGCGTTGCTTGAACTCCTTGCTACATGGGCGTTTCCGAAAATTAGGGGCTCCTTATTTTGGGGTCCTTATACAATGATCCTAGTACTTGGGGTGCTCTATTAGGGTCCCCCATTTCCGGAAACTCCCACACGGGGCCCCAAGGTCTCCTGTTGGCGGCCCCTAGCCACTTGCGCTCAGCCGCGGAAGACACATCCACCACACTCCACTCCCCTAAACCCTAAACCCTAAACCCTAAGCCCTAAGCCCTAAACCCTAAACCCTAAACCCTAAATCGCGGCTCACGGGACTGACGACCCATTCACGACCCCTCAAATGGTCTTAGAGTTCAGGGTCTAGGCAGCGCAGTCCTTTTGCGAGAGAGCCCAGTACAGCTAAGTCAAGGAACAGATCTTTAGGTCATGATAACGAAGGTCATGATAACAAAGCTGAAAGTCTGAACGAACAGCTGATTCGCTGTTGAAGACAGAGGCTTAGTCGGCGACGCAAACTTCGACGTGCCTACAAACAAAGCCCTTCAAGCGCCGGGTTTGGGTCTCAAGGTGTTTTCGAATCCCGGGAGTCAGAATTCCGAATACAGGGAGTACGTAGTTTCCGTAGACTTCGAGAATGTTCGAGCAGCCGGGTCGGGGTCTAATGATTACAGGGGTCTAAACCACTACTAGAAGGGGGCTTTGGGGGGGTGCAATATGGTACACTTACAAGAATGAGCAAGAAGGAACAGTATTCGTAATTGTTCAGGCTTCTGTCTCATCGGGCTTGGTATCGAAGAACAGCAGAGGCTCTGAGTGCCACGCAGCACGGCAGGAAGGTTCTCCTGCCACAAGCAGCCAAACTTAACGACTCTCGGGCTTCAGGGCTTTGTTGCTCTCGAGGGCTTCTTGTTTTGGGGTTGTGGTCCTGGGCCGGGGATCAGCGCTCATTGCCGCAAGGCAGCTTATTTGGGTAGAACTCGAAGATGAACGTTTTGAGCCTTGCCGAGTTCCCGAAACCCTGAAGGCACGGGATTGACACGGCGTCGACTAAACCCTGGATCCCCGCAGCGAAAACAGAGCTCAAACGCTAATGAAAGCGAAGGAAAGTGAAGCTCACACAGCCCGTCCTGGGAGTAGAGGATGTTGCGCAACTCCACCATGGCAGGCCTCCATGGCAGGGAAAAGTCGGAAAAAATGTCTTCTTGAGCCTCGGGGATTGTAGAATTTTGGGCTTTCGGGTTTGGGGGAAGCACCTTAAGCCTTAAGCCCTACAAGCTGACATCTGCAGTAGGCATCTGATAAGCAACAGTTTTTTGGGTGGCATGCTTTGGGCCTTTACAGGCTATCACGGGAAGCTCGCAACGCTCATCTGAGATCTTCTGACAGAAACCCCATAAATCGTTTTCGGGTTGGCGGGCCCCCCAAACCCTAAAGCCTGAAGGCCTGAGCCTCGAAACTCCAAAACTGTTTTTCCCTAGACTCTCCGCCCTAAGCCTTATAAAGTTATAAAGTTCAAAGCCATATAAAGACCTGCAGTAGGCACTGAATGCTTTGAGCTCCGGGCGCATCCCAGGGACCCCCGGCATAGGCGGCAGCCACCGGGAAGTCCGTCCGGGCCAGCACCTGCCCCCAATCCAAGGGTAAAAGGAGGGACCCTGAATAAGGACCCCTAGGTATATACCCTTAATCTAGCTAGTCTATACCCATTACTGTATATACCCCATTATAGGGTCGGGGTCCCCCGTTAAGGGTCCCTCCTTTACCCCTTTGAACCAAGGGTTTAGGGGTCGGAACCTCGGAAGCCTGCCCCGAAATATTACAGCGCTTGCTGAGAAAATCACCCGAAGCTTAGACAGGGTTTAGGGTTTAGGGGTTTTGGGTTTAGGGGCAGGAGCCCCAGAATGCCCTTGACGCCAAGCCCAAAGAGCCAAAAGCACCCAACCTAAGCCCTTACTCACTCAGCCTCACTCTGGTCTTGAAAAACATCCGGGCTCAGCACGAGAGGAACACTAAATTCATCAGAAACTCGGCTCAGCTTCTGCGTTACAAGGGCGCGATCGGAGACTCTGGGAAATAGGTCCCGCGACCTATGTGAGGGCTATGATAGTGGTGCGGGAGGGTCTGTCTGCTAACTGGACGCAATGCTTGTCTGGAACCTGAAGTTTATGACACCCTAAACCCTAAACCCTAAACCTACATTGTAGGTAACGTGAAGCTTGTCTGGTGCCTCCTGTTCGCACTCTTCACGGCCATCCAATCTCACCGTCAGAAGGTTCCCAAGGATGCTTACCTCCTCAGACAGAGGAAGGGCTACGGAAGGGTAGAAGTAGTAGAATACCTGCATATATATATATATACCATTAGCAAACTTGCCGTTTCACTGATTGTTGAATCGAGTTTGCGTTGAACGGCTTCGCGGAGATCTTTCGTGTTGAGTACCGCTGGTCTGCCTTGATCCTGTCTGGCCTGAACCCGTAGCTGAGTGTTTCCAATGCTTACTGTACGTCTTCCCACCGTAGAAGCCTATCGCCCGCCCTCCACCAAGCGAGCCAATGTCACTGTAGCACTTCAGCTGAGCCGCTAGGCTGAAAAGAACCGCTCGGACTTGAATCAAAAGCTCGTGGGCGATTCAATACACCGACTGGACAGGCATTGAGGGCGCTGCTAGGTGATGGAAACCCCCGAGTGCAAGGGGCGTCTGGATCAGACCTCAGGTGAAGGCATCAATGCGGTTGACAGTGACAACGAAGCACTATTACTATCACTATTCTGATTATTCTTACGATTACTATTATTATTATTATTGTTACTACTAAAATAATTTGCAATTATATGGTTATTATTACTATTATTGTTATTGTTAGTTATTATTACCAAAAGACCAGAGGCACGAAGATGAAACTGCCCCCAAATCTTAATAACACGGAAGGCCTTAGATCCCAGAACTAGAGCCACTACAGGGCCAACCGTTTTCCCTGAACCCCATGAAGTTTGGTGACTGAGCAGGAGCAGAGCTTTGGACTCTCTTGCAGCGGCCTCTCGTGCTTTTCCAAGGAGGTTTCCAAGCAGGGGCCATGCCGTCATAACTGGAATCTAGTAACCCAGGCTTTTAATGACTTCACCAGTTCACATCTGCATTATGCACACGTAGAACGAAGAGCGCAAGCGCCTTCAGAAGTGGGAATGCAGAAGCACCATGGACAAGCAGGCTGCTAAGGTGTGTGCCAGGTTTGTATAATGCCTTCTAGGCTTTCATGTGTGTGTGTGTGGAGGTCTGGACTAGTTCCGTCGTGCACTCCGCTCTAGGGCTCGAAAGGGGCCTAGGCTAGGCCGAAAGGGTCTACGTTGCAATCGTTAAGGAAGGGCCTCTTAGATCTTAGCTTTGTGGTGCAACCAAGGGGCAACTGGGTGTGCCATCAACGAAGACCTGAAGCTTTCGCCTCGTCTGGGCCAGATCTGCAAACTATGATCATTGGGTTTAGGGTGACGGTTGAGGCTCGAGACCTTCGGGTTTTGGCAGAGCTTTGTGATGCATAAAGGGTTCAGGGTCAAGGATGAAGGTTCACCTGAAGCAGATTTGGGGCTCAGTGTGACCACACACACACACACACACACACGATCGATGTCTCCATTTAGCTGCAAAGGCACCCGGTGGCGGAGATCGTTTCCGGAACGAGGAAGATGGCCGGCAGCCGATCGCCGTCGTTGCCTGCGTCTTGAGGGAGTGAAGGCTGTTTCGGTTGCAATCGGAGTTCCCGCCTGAGACCCCAGAAATATATCTTCGTCATGATTCAACAAGGGACAGTCAACGGCGACTGTCAGGGAGTGCTGGACCAACGTGGTCTTGTGAAAGTATGCAGGCGAAGACTTTGGCGGAGCGTCTGGATGAAGGTGAAGGGGGCAACATGCATGTTCAGCGGCACTTTCATCTCCTGGCTGTATCGCTAATGCTCGCGCGAAGTCATGGGCTGCAGAACAATCGTGTCGTGTCCACTGGACATCTACGAAGACTCGGCAATGTCCGACACCTCCGCAGCTCCTAATCCGAAGTGGATCCCATGAGTAGCAACAGTGGTAGTAGTAGTGGTAGTAGCAGTACTAAGTGTCTCGGCCCAAGTTGGTTTCTACATTTCGGGGGCCTCGGCGTTGAATGGTGCAACTGCTCTCTCTCTGAACTCTTCCTTCGACGTTCCCAACCTGTCTGGCGGTTGTGGCTGCCCGCTACAAAGGGGCTTTCGAGCCGGGGCATGCCACGCTCTCCTGCCCAGACTTCCAGCTCCAGTTCAGACGATGTGCGCAGCAACAGCAATGAGGATGACACGCCTTCACAGCCTGATAGTGATGTTATTATGGTCAGGGACGGGGATTTGCCCCCAGACGCGGCTGCCAACGACGAGCTGCAACCAACCAACGAAGACGGGACTGCACCCGTGGAATATCTCAACCCGCAGCCGCCGGCACCGCCTGACCCCTATACCATGTTTCAGCTGCCCAAGGACTATGCCGACTTCATGCACGAACTTGCTTACACCGCTCTCAGAGAGCTCTGCTTTTGGTACCTGGCGCAACATCTCTGCCTGCACTACCCGGACCGACGCGTCTCTCAGGCCAGATACTTGGCCCAACGACGCAGCCGCGGAATGCAGGAACCCGGAGCGCTATATGCTTACGTGTATGTCCAGCTGGATGAAGACCCAGCAGCCAAATTGGATGCGGATTACACAGCGCTGGCCAACCTGTGGACTGGAGGAACCCCGGAGAACGATGTCTCCTGGCTGTCTGATGTGGGGCGCTCATGCGACCCCCCGAAACACCTGTGTCTGCAACACTTGTCGAGAATGCTTCGACAAAGCCTATGCCGGCACCTGGACGCACCGAGCGCTACCCACATCGCTATGTATATGGTTGACCACGTACGACAGATGGACCTCCTCTACGTTGCCACCCTGCTGGCCCTGTTTCCGCTTCTGGACCATGACGGCCGCCACGACTTCCAGCACTGGTACTACGGCTTTTCCAACAGACTGCTTCCTTGCGACGAAGATGAAGCGGCTGACAGGAGAGACGAACCGGCCTCTGGCTCTGCTGGGCCTCGGCCGTAAATCACCTCTCCCAAAGCCACCAGACTGGGGCAAGAGCCTGCGACCAGGCAGGTACCGTGCCAAACGAGCACCACGTCATGCCCGACCAAGCTGTCGAAGGCCACGCGTACGGCGACACCGCCTTGGCACGTGGACAAACCTCACAAGCCAAGCTGCTCAGCACACTCTACAGCTTTGCCTGTTCTTGTTTGTGCATAGCTCCATCTTTTCCTGTACAGTGGATGTGCAACAGGCTGCCTCCTCCCGAGTCCCCCACACACCAACGCCTTTTAAGGGTCGCCCTGGTCCCAAGTCCAGGGGTAAGTCGAATTTGAATAGGCCCCACACCAAATGCATTGTCTATGGAAGCCTCCTCATGCAAGCTAGTCAAGGAGTTCGACTTACAGACACGAGGGTAGGGAGCCCTTTACGCCTGAACCTCCCTGAAGCCCGACCCAGTAGCAACCATCAAGCCCCTAGCAGTGCGAACCCCAATGGCGTACCCAGACCTGTGTTGTTCCCCACCATCGCCCCCGCGCGCAAGCGATCCTACCTTAGGGCACAGAAAAGAGCACAACTGCACGGACAAGCCAAATATCGAGGTAGATGGCTTAAACCCGAGGCACTAGGAGTCAAATATAACCCGCCTCAGCCTAAGCCCACTAAGCCTCCCTCCCGTGCAACTGAGCATAGGCTGACATTTCTTTCTTGGAATGCCGGCGGCCTTACTGAGGCCAGACACCAGGAATTCAAAACCTGGTTAGCTGAACCTGAGGGCCGGGCTATTCAGGTCATTGCCATTCAAGAAACACACTGGAAAACGTCTTTTGAGTATTTGACTGATAGCTACATAGCCGTGCACTCGGGAGGCCCCAAAGCTGAAGCAGGCCTGCTCCTGCTAGTTAGCCGCCGAGCCTTCACTGCCGCACAGGTTCAGTCCCGGGATTTGATTCCCGGCCGCCTCATGCATGTCCGCCTGGAAGCAGAGCCCAGTATAGACATAGTCGTGGGTTACCAGCACACATGGACAGTCCCAAAATCCCAACCTGGTAAACCTCCCGACAAGGACCACCTACTTGCCAAAAGATCGGAGTACTGGGCTTCCTTGGCAGCTTGCATAGATCAGCTCCCCCGCCGTAACCAGCTGTTGGTAATGGCCGATTTTAATACCGATCTCCAGCCCGATTCCTGCCAAGTAGGCCAGGGTGTGTACACCAGGCGAACCGCGCATGCCCCGGACCGAGCGGCCCTGCAGGATATGCTCAGGCAGTATCAGCTGATTGCACTCAACACGTGGAGTCGGTCAGGCCGTCCTGCGTGCACCTACCTGTCGGCAGGAGACAGCAATCAAAGCCAAATAGATTTTGTCTTATCTAGGCAGCACCAGCAGGACCCCTTGTCTCGCTACGTAGTTCCCAGACACATGCCATTTGTCCCAGTCACCGGTATGAGACACCTCCCACTCTTAGGTAGTGTCCCGTACCCTAAAGCACCCCGCACTAAACCGCCTCAGCATCTGGTCTCCTGCAAACAGGTGCGCAGTTTATGTCAGCAGCATGCGGACCTCCCGTGTGCTTTTTCGCGAGAGCTGGAGTCCTTGCATGCTTCAAATCCGAGTATGCCAGTCAATGACCTGCTAAGCCAAGCCTGGCGAACTGCCACCCTCAATAGACCTGCCCCTGCAGCACCCAAGCCTAGCATGACAGCCCAAACGGCAGTGGTCTCAGTTCAAACCGTTTGGGGGTTACGCAAGCAAGTCAGACTGGCCAGAGCTCAGCGGCATAGAGGCCTGCGAGAACTGCTTGTGCTCTGGCGGACCCTGGCCAGCCTTCGAAAAGCCCAAAAAGACCTCCAGGCCCGCTGTCGCATAGCCAAGAAGCAGCGCATCCACGATCTACTGCAGGAAGCGGCCAGGGCACCTGCCGGTCTCACCCCGGTCTTCCGCCTGCTGCGCACCATTGCACCTGCAGCTCCCAAACGCAAGCTGCAGCTCCGATCCCGCCAGGGTGCCCCCTTGGGAACTGCTGAAGCCATGAAGCTCATCAAAGATTACTACTTTCACCTCTTCAACCAGGTCACAACGCAAAAGCGTCACCTGGCGCCCCCGAACCCGGTGCAGCTCAGTCATGAAGAGCTCCTCATGGAGTTACAGCAGATACCGGCTAATAAGGCCCTGCCGTCAACCGAGCTGCCGGCCATGCTCTGGAAATTCGGTGCGAGCACGCTCGCCTCCAGGCTCCTACAGCCACTGAACGCCTGGCTTGCGGACATGACGCAACCACCGCCTGATGAGTGGCACATCTCCGAGATCTGCCTTATCCCCAAACCCAACAAACCATTGGTAGGTCCTGAAGCCCTGAGACCCATCTCCCTTCTTCACCCGGTTGCTAAGTCTTTGGCTAGCGCCCTCAACAAACGCCTCCTCCCCTACTTGCACCCCGCCGTGTCATCACAACCGCAGTTCGCTTATGTGGCTGGGCGATCAGCCCAGGACGCGCTGGACCGAGCGCTCCTGCATTGTAGACACGTTCGCGAAATCATGCAGGCCCAACGCAACACTATACATTTGAAACGTCAAAACCATCAACCTGACGCCCTTAGAGGGGGCATAACCTTATCCCTAGATTTGACTAAAGCGTTTGATCTTTTGCCCAGAGACCGCCTAGCTGAAGCCCTCGAAGCAGCCCATGTAGAACCCAGCTTAGCCTGGACGATCCTCAAAATACACGATTGGGCCTGCCTTCGCTTCCGCCTCGGGCGCGAGGAAACCACCATAGGCTCCAGCAATGGTGTCAGGCAAGGATGTGGATTGTCACCTAGTTTGTAGGTTCTTTATACCTGCTTAATCCTAAAGGCCCTTCAGCCGAGAATCCCCAGCCAATGCCTGACAGCATTCGCCGATGACCTCTTGATCCAGTGGACGATCCGATCACCTGATCATTTTCATCAAGTAAGTCAGGACATAAGCTATGCACTGCATACTCTTCGAGACTTTGGGATGCGTGTTAGCCAAGAAAAGACAGTAGTATTGATCGGCCTCCGCGGACCTGCAGCCACAGGCCTTTTGAAACAATACGTCCACACTGACCCGAAGCTAGGCAAAGTCTTCAAAGTCCCACAAACACCTGAGCAAGAACAACGCCTAGGGATAGTCCAGCTCCCCCTAGTCCCACACCACACCTACCTTGGCATACGCATATCTTATCAGAACTTCGAATCCCTGACCCTCAAGCACCGACTGCAACAGTCGTGGTCGGCGTTTCACAGACTGCTGCCGGCACTGCGCTCAGGAAGCTTGTCCTTGCGCCAAAGGCTGCAAATCTGGAAGGCTTGCCCTTTTGCCAGCCTTGCCTACGGATTGGACTGCCTAAGCTTAAGCCTCCCAGACCTCACCAAGCTTCGCAAGCATATGGTACGTCAGCTGCGCACTCTAAGCAAAGCCCCGGTTTTCATCACCCGAGAGCCAACAGCCCAGCTTCTCGAGCGCCTGCGCCAGCCGGACCCGGCCCTAACCATATACTTGCACGCTGCATTGCCCGCATCGAGCAACGCAGCATCAATCCGGTCTCTGCCCTGTGGCCGACAGCAGTGCACAAGTGGTGGAGCCACCTGAGCACGAATGCACGAGATCTGCAGAAGCTGGCACCACGATTCTGGCAGCCGACACCCTCATCTCAAACCACGGTAGGCCAGCTAATCCCTGCACCCGAGCACGCAACCCCAGTTGCCTGCCCCGACTGTGGACTATATTTCAGCAACCTCACGCACATGCGCAGACATCGCAGCCAGAAACACAAGCCCACGCCAACTGAAGCCCAAGACAACCCGCCTGCCCCGGTACCTAACCAACAACTTCGAGACCTGTATATGCCTCATGCCCTAAATGGTCTCCCACAATGCAGGCATTGTCTTTGGCAGTTTAGCAGTTGGCACTGGTTTCTGCAGCATTTTGCGCATGAGAGATGCCCTGCCCTTCAGCCCGAAGTCACCGGCACAGCCACATCTGAGGACCTGACAGCTGCGCCAAACGCTGAACAGCTAGGATCGACTGACGCAGACACCAGCCTAATCAGCAACGCAGCCCGTCCAATAATGCAGACTTCTGGCCCTCAGATTTCGACTGCTTCTCCGGATGAATCCAATCATCCTCTGCTGAAGCTTGATCCGGAACTGGTACAATTAGCATGTGCCAAAGACTGGAGGCCATTAGCGCAACACATCCGACGATCCGACCAGCACCACTGCCCTTTCTGTCAGCAATGGTTGGCTAGGCCTACCTATTTGTCACGACATCTAAGCAAGCAGCATGCCAAGATTTATCAAGTACATGACCGGGTGCAACAGTGGCTCACAGATCGCTCCACGGCCATCGGGCATCCTTGCTCGTTCTGCCATACGGAATATAAGGCCAGTCACACCAGTAAACTCCGACATGCACTTGCCTGCACAACGTTGTACCGCACAGGGCTCTTACACATCCTTGCCCTCACTCTGCCGCAGGCGGACCACGCGTACGATGGACCTGAACCTCACGGAACCCCAGCTGAAGGAGCTGGCCAATGCGGAGGAGCAAGCGGGACTGATGCATGCTATGCTTCAGAATGCCTCCTCTGGCACCCTGGGCGTCATGGCCAAGAACCTAGCCTCGGAGCTCGACAACCGCCAGAAGCAGACCGAGCCCATGGACACGACTCAGAGGGACGGCAAGCGCGGCAGCTCCCAGCCAAGGGAGGACCAGCGCCCAGGCAAGGGTCACCTTGCGAAGTGGCACCGCGGAGCCAACAAGGGGGGCTCTGGAAGTGGCTGGTCCGGCAACCGCGACTGGAAGGACCAGCGGGAGGACAACAAAGGCACGGAGAAGACCAAGGAGAAGGACAAAGTGGAGGAGGACGACTGGTTCCAGGAGCAGGGCATTCAGGCAATGTCCAACCGACAGCTTCGCGAGCTGATCGGAATGATGGCTCGCCTCCTCTTGAGGCACAGCGATCAGATGAGCATCGATCGCTGCGAGTCCGGATTCATGCTCTTCCTCCAGGCCCAGGGCATGCTGACCCTAGTTCCGGACTTATTCCAGGTAACGCAAGTCTGGAAGAAGGCCAAAGCCGAGCAGCCGGAGACAATCACGTTGCCCCTCCGGGTTGTGCTGTTCAAGCACATCTTGGATGTGCTTCTGACGAGACTCGAGGCCTGCCAAAAGTCCGAGGCCAGCCTGAAGGAGGCTCGCGAGATGATGATATTCGACGACAACAACAACATTCCCTACCTGGAATGGAATGCGAGCCAGAAAGCCTTGCAGGTGCGCAAGGACAAGGAGGCCCTTCCTCTCGCCGAGGCCGTGCGCATTCTCCAGGACCTCCAGCGACTGGTGCTTCTCCCCTTGGTGATCATGAGGTTCCACAGCACGCGGAAGCTGGTCAAGGAGCACAAGGGCGAGGTCTTGCCGATGATGCTGCAGCTGGGAATCAGGACACCAGAAGCCCAGATGGCCTGGAACCACATTGCCAGGCTGGCGCACAGCGGCCTCTTCCGCACGTGCGTCTTCTCGCTTCGAGGCGAGAAGATGGGTCGCAGCGCTCTGGAAGTGGCGCTTCAGCAGATGATCTACGATCCGTCCGTCGTCTAAATTTGCCTAATCCCTCCAACTTCTGCTATAGCAATGCCAGCCTCCTGGCTATCCTTTGGACGCACTTTTCACTGCCCTGCCAAGGTATCAGGAGCTGTGAGCTTCTCGGTGCCTCCATGCGATCCATCTGGAGTTGGCTGCAAAGACAGGCCCGCCCGGAAACGCCGTGGCAACACCTTGCCTGGCGAGCCCTACATAGCGGTTGGACTAGCCCCTCTAGGCAACACGATGTGGGTGAGTACCTTACCTTCCTCAAACCCCACTTAGGCCTAGCTGCGGTTGGAACTTGGGAATCCAGACTTCAAATGGAAGATCAGCCTGTCAGGTGTGTGGAGTCGGGGGACACCTGGCCACTCATCCTGCAAGAGCCGCTCGAAGGACAGCCGCTTAACTCTGCTGCACGCGTCAGCCTGCAATCAATTTTGGACACCTGGTCACTCTCTCAGGAGGGACAGCCGGGCCTAGTGAAGCTGCCAGCAGTGCTGTGTCTGCAGGTCAATAGGTTTAACCTAGGCCTAATACATAGCCCTAAATCCGACCTTCCCATAGAGCCTGAGCCAAACCTCCAAGTACCATATTACTCTGCCGACCTGACAGCCGGGGATGCACTGCAGCACAGCTACGAGCAATATCAGCGAGCGGCTGCAATTTTGCACATAGGGCCGAGAAGCACCGAAGGACACTATAGATGCATGCTGTATTCACCCACAGGCCCCGAGACCTACCTCACTGATGACAACCAATCAGCCTGTGTACCCAACGAAGCCCAATATAGCCTCTGCCTCCAACAAAGTTATGTGTTCCTTTACATTCGGTGTCGTGATGGCCCAAGCATCTGAGCTTCCCTGCTGCAGACTGCAGAACACCCTAAGGTAAGCCTCCAACCCTGTGTTCGTTGCACTCCTTGTACAGCACTATAGGAAACCACGCATCCAATGCAGCAGGTTAGAGCAATCACGAGTTGGTATTCCTGCTTACTGGGGCTTTCGAGCCGAGGGATGCCACTCTTTCTTTTTGGGGGATCTCAATTGCAGATCTCGCGCATAGCGCGCCGGGGTGGTGACCCTGTCAATCCACACGGGTCCGCCAAGCGAGGATCGAGATTTCTTCGCCGCGTCTGGAAGAAGGAAGTAGCAGTACTAGTGGTGGCGGTGGTGGTGGTGGTGGTGGTGGTGGGAGCGGCAGCGGCAGCGGCCGAAGCAGTGGCCGTCATGGTTAGGAGGTAAGTAGAATCAATCAGTATTCTCCCTTTTGCAATATTTGGTTCTCAATCTGTCGTGACGATCCTTGTACCATCACCAGCAACATGCCCGAGCAAACAGCTACTGCTAATAAATCCATGTCCCAAACCCTTAACCCCAAAACTGAATGCCGAGAAAGTGGCAGCAGCCGTTTCCCGTCGCTGAGAAGTGGAGAATGCTCAGGAAGTCGGTCCTGGCGACCCAGGGTCCAAGGGTCTAATTCGACGGTTTAGGGTTTAGGGTTTAGGGGATCTTGATTGCTTTCTGCTCATATTCGTGGCTTCAGTCGTACTACCAAAAAAAAGAAAAGACAAGAGCGGACTTTGGATTTGGGCTTTAAGCTTTAAACATTAGGCTCAGGCTTGGAGGCTTGGCCCCCCACCCAGACCCTGAACCGTGAATAGCACAGCAGCACGGGATCCCGAAGCACTTAGACTGAACTGCTCAATGCCGCAAGCGGACTCCAAATCTTAGAACCTGCGAGCCTGCCCTCATGGCCACGAAAGCCAAAACTCTTTCAACAAAAACCTGCTAAGAGTTTAGGGAACCGGCAATCCGGAACTCTGCCAACTCTCCAAGCCGGTCGGTGACACTCAGCGGGCGCTTGTATGGCCAACTCCATGGAAAGAGTGAACTCCGGAGTCAGACGGACCTGCAAAAGGACACTGGAAGTTCTTGAATGGACATATATGGGCTTCTATGAGGGGTTCTGGTAATGGTCCTGCAACAACTACAAGGGAGTTGTAGGGCTTTACCAAGGCAGCCTTAGGAGAAACTCGGCAGTAAAGAGACAGACGATCGTAAATCCTAATTAGAGGCCACAAGCCGCTGAATTTACATCGTACTCTTAGATCACCACACCAGAACAGAAACAAAGCCCTAAACCTGAACCCTCGACCCTAAGACAAATTAAATGCCCTGGCGAAAGGACCAGCGTTGCTGCAGGCCCTTGCTAGCAGCGAGGGGCTCTGGCACTTCTCTCAAACCCTCATAAACCCTCCGAGTCTACCTTTCTCCAAGCCCAGAAGCTGTAGGAACCCCCTGATCGAGCTGAGCCACCTTGTTGCTAAGGAGGAAACTCTGCGAGACTTGGAAGGCATCGTACCTTAGAAAGGCTTCTCTTGTTTGCTGCTTTGATGCTGCTGTGCCTCTGTTAGTCTGTTGGGTGTTTTCAACTTTTCTTGCTTGGTGCTTTGCTGCTTCTAGACTGGATTGTGTGTGCGGGTCTCTGTTACTTTCTTGGGTTGTTTTCAACCGTTTTCAAGTATTCCGAGGATGGGGTTATAGGGCTTACGGCTTTCGGGACTTGCGGTGTAGGGTGTGAAGGTGGGTATACGGCGGTGCATTAGAGCATTACTGTTTTAGCGTGCGGGGTTCAGGTTTAGGGCTTTGGGGTTGGAGGGTTTAGGGCACCAGCCGGTCAGGGTTTCACAGGCGCCTTATAGAACCCTAATATAAACCCAATTATAGAACCCTAGTATCGAACCCTGTTGACGATCAGGAAGATCTCGAAGATTTGGGTTTGTAAAGTCGTTCGTAGCCATGTCGTAGTCGAAAGTGGTTCTACTTCTGAGCAGACCGGGTGGGAATCACCATGGGCTTACAGCGAACGCTTTGTTTCTCTACGCGACGGCAACACGAAGTGCTGTTCTTTGAACTAGCCTGTGCTAGTGCTACCTTGCTGGCTTCTGCCGATCATGCTGGTTTCTGCCGATCATGGCAGTTCGCATGGAGCTCTGCTCCAACTTCAGCCTTCAGAGGCTGCGGAGAAGCGGTACATCTACCTGCATCTACACTCCTCCTCGCCTGCATCATCTTTTGAAGATGGAAAGGCGCTACCTCTGTGATCTTCCCTCCTTAAGCGCTTGCAGACAATACCTACAGAACATGCGATTCTGAGGGCTTATCGTGTTACGCAGCGCATGACAATTTGGGAAGATGTGCAAAGCTCCCGGTGATTTACTTGAAGTCGTTAGTACGTGGAGTTCACACAATTCTTCAAGGGTCAACCCTGACTGGACTTCAGTCTGAGTTGAAGCATCATTCAAGACCTTAGATTCAGGACTCAAATCATAAGCCTTCTGACCAACCTGGAAGTCGGATCGGGGACTGGTTGGCCGATATGGGGGAGGAGGAGGTGGAATAAATCCAGAGGAAGACGACGAGGCTTGCTCCGTAAATCCAATAGGAGCGGATGCAAAGTGATGATCCGGTGGAGGTGGACTTGGGGTGCTGCAGGATGCTACATCACGGTCCCCTACTTGCACATGGACATAGGAGTGGACTCTGGGGGGCCCGGTTGGACGTCTGCTGGAGCCTGCTCTGTCTCCCCGTTCCCTTCACTAGAACTCACTTCCCTCGCTATCGCCCTCCTTACTGCCTCCTGCCTTCTTGACCTTCTACTTGTGGCCTCGGAGACCTCTGGGGCTCTCAGTGCACGCACTTCGGGATTGTTGGGCCCCCTGTGAGGGCAACACAAGCGGGCACAGGACTTCCCAGATTCCCAAAGGAACAAGATCGACATTGTCATCAGGACAATGATTAGCGAAAGTTCCAAGCTCAGGGGCTCGGTTTCTCCATCATCCTCGCGTGTGGCTTCAGAACACTCAGCCTGCACCGCAAGTATTAGGAGCATAAACCACAAGCCTAGACCTTCTGGAACTGCCGGGGGGACTAAACCGAAAGGACTAGGGTTAGGGCCCTGCTGTTCAACTGCTGGGGAAGGCTGGGCATCACTAGGCTCGGATGCGAGTGCTGCTATCCTTCTTACTGAGCCTGGTGGTCCTAATCCTATCAGTCGGCAAAGTTCCTCCAGGCGTGTCTTTAGAAGCGCCTTGGTTAGGCAATCAGCAAGCTGCTCATCGCCAGGGCAGTGGCTCACTGCCAGCTCCTGACGCTTACGCATATCATGGATGAAGGCGGCACGAACTCTAAGATGCCTAGTGCGCACACTTCCCCCACCCTCGGCAAGGGTGATTGCAGCTATATTATCAACCATAAGATTTTTTACGCCCATGGAACCATCTAGTTCAACTATCAAGGCTTCCAAGGACTGCGAGAGGGTGACTCCCTCGCATCCCGCGCAGAGCTCCGACTCTGCTGTGCTCAGGGTCACCAGGCTCTGCCTTCTTGATTTCCATACTACGGTGCATTCATCATACCGTAGAAGGATCCCGCTAATCGAATGCGATCCGTAGGGCGCAAAAGACGCGTCCGTGAAGATGCGGAGGCCCTCCGGTCGACCTGGTATCAGGTTCAGCCTATGCGTCTTCGTAGCTGCCAAATACTCCAACACTCGCCCACCAATCTTGGTGACGTGGGCAGGAAATCTTGACACCCAACTCGCCATTAGCCCAACGCAGAAACCAATATCCAAGCGGGTCCTTTGGGAAACCCAAAGGAGTTCTCCGGTGATCCGCTGTCCTGCCCGCAACGCCTGCTCACTCACTTCTTCAAGGGGTGGTAGGTCTCGCACCCATTCCCTCGGGACAGGTGCAGTCGCCCGGGCATTTGGTTTGATCTCGTGGCTTCTCAGAAGCTCATCAATGTAGGCTTCTTGCTGTAAACTGAAACCAATCAAGGTGCCATCCTCATCTTCCTCAGCATATATGTCCACTCCAAGAAAACGTAAGGGTGATGACACGGTGGCCTCCTTCAGACCAGTGCACTCCCAATGCTCTCTTAACCAGGATATGAACGCCTCTGCCACTTCAGGTTCAGTCAGCACCAAAATATCATCAACGTACACCAGTAGATGACCAATGCATTCCCCAGACTCATGCCTGATACGCCATACATCACTCTCAGATGAAAACTGTTCCAGAGTAACTTCCCCCAAAGAGGTTTTCCACTTTGCCTGCAGCAGGAAGCTGTCTCGAAACAGTGACCACCAGCGTGGGCTTTCTCTGAAGCCGTACAGCGCCTTGTCTATAATCCACACCTCGTCTTCCCGCGCCAATCCCAGGTCGATCAGTAAGCGAGGTGGGCGCATCGCATAGCGCTTCGTGACTCCCTCGGGGATGCCAGCTAGAAGGAACGCTGACTTCACGTCAAGCCCATACGCCCTGCGTCCCCGGCGTGCCGAGTGGACTAATAATGTCCTCAGGCACTCCGCGCCTGCTCCACCAGCGTAGAGCTGCGACTCGGCTGTGGTCTTCGCATAGTTCCCACACGACACGATCCTGAATTTTCGTTTGAAAGGCTCTCCTGGTTTTACCGTACATACAGGCTTCCCAGGTATAACTTCGTAATTCGAATCCTTTAGTATCGCGCGGGCCTCATTGCCATAGAACTTGCGGATGACACTCATTTTCTCAAATGTATCCAACTCAGCTCTTGCGGCCGGGCGCCACTTTGTCAAATGTCTTCGAACCTCAGCGGGCGACACGTTGTGTGTCACCTCCAACGGACCTTGCAAATTTGTCAACAGCTCTTCCACATTCTGGGTATAGGCTGTCTCTTCGACTCTCCTGACTTCAGCTGGGACACAAGAGGTTCCTCTACTTGACATGGTGGCTAAAGGATCACTCGTTGGCACACCTATCACTTGTGTTGAAGCGGTTCCCGACGATCTACTCTGTCCCTCATCTATGGACGTTGACCTTTGACCCTTGGCATGGCACTGGCCAGTACTAGATGACGCCTGCACGGTTCTACAGCTAAACTCTTCAAAGGACCGTGGAGTAGGGAAATCCGTCGGGTCTACCTCCGGTTGCTCCGGGAGAACTTCATTTTCTACAGGCGTACCCTGTGAACTCAGTGTCACATGAGACACCGAGAACTCATGCGAGCCCACACCGCTTGGCAGGGGCTCAGACTCTTGCGGGGCAGGATTAGGTCCCTGCTGAGCAACAACTGAATCAATGGCTGCTGCAGCGGGCATAGTTGACGGTGCTGACGTGGGGTCTGATCCCCACTCATCGTCTTCCCACAACGCTTGCATATACATCATGTGCTGATATTCCTCAACAGCTTGCTCAGCTGCATGAGTTCGTCTCGGCAGGTCGCTCGACGAACTAGAGGGTTCTTGAAAGGACCGGGAGTTAGGGAAATCCGTTGGGTCTCCTCCGGTTGCTCAGGGAAGTCTAAGGGATTAGGGGCTCTTAGCTCCTCCTCTTGGGCTTGTCGCCCTTGGGTGGCTTGCCGTGCATCCGGTTGCTTGCAGCCTAGGCCTGCGAGTGGTGGGCCTGGGCATCTCTGAGCAAGGGTTCGGTTCTGGATAATCCACGGGATCGGTCTCTGGGCTCTATCTATCAACCGAACTTCCCCAGTCGTCAAGCTAGAGAGCTGCGGGCTATCAGGGCGCCTTGTACCCGGCGGATGGATACCAAGCATTATTCGTTCCGCTACCCCCTTTGTAAAACCAAACTCCACAAGGTCCTCAACATACAAGAACTGCAGATCCGTTGGAGTTTCCACTCCTAAGGTAGACAGCCTGGGATATGCATCGCTCACTCCTCTCACCCTCAAGTAAGCTTGTAGTTCTACATTGGCCAAGCCCGGGAGTGGCTTGTCTCCAGGGTCACCAGTGCTGAAATCCCATCCAATCAGAGGGGTGACGGAATCGGCCTGCTCATCAGACTCAAGCTGGGCTACTGGAACAGGAGTGGGGGGACGATTCTCCAACCTTCCCTCCTCAATCTGACGCTGCAATTCCTCTGAGTCAATACTGGATTCTGAGGTATCCTCCGAAGAGATTGAAACGGCATTCACGCGGTGTTCCAGAGGCTCCAAGATTGGACGGCTCAGTTCCGTCACCTCGCTATCTAAGTCCATTAGAGGAAACTCACACCCCTTTAGGCACCACCTTTCCCACTCCTTAAGCTTATTAGTTCCCAGGGGGGTGTACCCAACTATCAACCAGTTCGGCTGCATGCGGACTGCGTGATGCTGGCGGGGATCAAAGGCTAGTGGGACTTCGGTGAGGGCCCTGGTTTCAGCTGGGTCCCAGGAAGGGTCAGGCAACTTAGAGTCCCTTACAGGATTATTAGTGGGAGTCTCAACCCACAATTGGACTTCACCCGGCACATGCATGGTGTAGTTCAAGGTTCCCCACTCATTCCTCCAGTCCCTATGAACCTCTACGTTCCCGGCCCTCATTAGCATTATGGAGGCCCACGTGGGGCTCTTCTCACTAGTATGCTGCGCAAGTCTGGTGGCGAGGACACGGTTGAGAAAGCGGGTTGTAAGGGGCTTACCCTTGGTCCGAGTGGTTACTCCTCGAAGGCCCCCATGGCAGTATGCTCCGAAGATCTGTCGATCCTCCACAATGCCTCGCCGATCCTCTGGAGTCTTCTCCTCCTGAGTCACTGCAGATAGAACTTGGCGCACCGCATTCAAGCTGTAATCCTGAGCTATCAGAAGTTCCCTCGAAACCTCCTCGGAAGATTGGGTCGGGGTATACTCAACAAACCGAACAGCAGATTTTCCCTTTATCCTCTTCAAAGGTTTGCCATACTCATCAAAGCGGTCAGAGGGGGGATCATCGGGATCCTCCTCCTCCTGAAGGATAGGGATATTTAGCTGTTCTAGCTTGGTTGGATCAATTAGTTCAGACTTAAACCCTTTTGAAGCCACCAGGTTGCCCGATGACGTTATAAGGACATGGCCGTCCGTAACCGACCTATGAGGGGCCGCATATCTAGCTTCCACCCATCGTTCCATGAGTTGTTTCACCCCGTCCGCGGGGCGCTTAATCCTATGGAGGACCTGCTGCCCAAAGGCCGGGATATCTGGCCCTCCAGTGATGAGGGCATTATGCTTGGAAACAGCCCATCTCGCAGCGAGTGGCCACCACTCCACAGAAAGTTTAGCAGCCTTCAGGAGCGTGCGGATTCTAGACTTGACCCAACCTACTGTCCTCTCAGAGAGGCCATTACCCTTCTTATCAGTCGGAAGGGAATGCTGGGTTCGCACCCCATGTTCGGCTAGCCATCTGCTCAATGCGGACGCTGAGAACTCTGTGCCCGGATCATGATGAATACTCAATACCGGGTAGGCTTGGTTGATTTCAAGAATCATGCGCTGGATCGCCTCTGTGACCTCTGCACCGGACTTCGTCCTCAGCGGTATGCAGTATCGTAGGAGGACCTGGTCGACAGGTTCACGCAACTCCTCAATTATCTGCTTCATACCTTCCTCATCAGCGGGAAGGTCCTGCTCTGACAAAAGGGATTGTGGTACTAGATCCTCACACGCTGTGGCACTGATGTTGGGGCTTAGCTGCGGTGGATGGGAAGGAGGTGGCAATGGTGGTGGCTCATCATCAAAGAGCTCTGGGAAAAGGTTTTCGGAGGGCTCCGAGGGCTCGTATTCAGCCAACTCATTCTCAGGTGGTGGCTCAGAGGACTCAACCCCTTTGAACAAATCCCTTATGCCATCTACTCCATCCCTTGGTTTTAGAACCGAGCGAGGCACCCTGAACGCACCTACCAGAGCGTATCTTAAGAGATTCTTGCCGGTGATGCAAGTCTCGTCGCGTCCTGCCTCAGACAAAGGAACGGGGCCGAAAAGGTCGACCGACAGCGCAAACGATCTCGGATGCTTGACGCGTCTGTGGAACACCCCTAACCCTGCCCCTTCTACACATTGGCGGCAATCTCGTCGATACGGCAGATGACCGTTGAGGATATGCTGTCGCCACCGTTCAGTATCAGGGCTCAAAGGCTTAGGGCTCCCATCCTTAGGGTCAGGGTGAGGATCCGGCATCGGCACATCTTCATGATCACTAGCCACCTCGGGAGGCACCTCATCACCATTTAGACCTCTCACAGTTGGGTTTGCCACATCACTAGCTATGACACCATCATCGGGCTCCGAGGCTCGAGGAGCCAGGACTCCTTGTACGTCAAAGTGCTCATCATCATCATCACCGAGCACACTCTCCTCCTCAAATGCGCGGCGGAGAGCCTCAGCTTCGAGCTGGTCCCGGAAGGTGGTTTGCTCTGCCGCATTAACACTCGGTTCAGTCTGTAGGCGGGCCTCCGAAATGATCCTATCCAGTTCTTCGACTGACTGACCTGAAGGCCTTCCCCTGAGTGCATTCACGACTTCCTTCCTGAACTCCAAGGTCCACTCACGCCCCTTTGGCGGCGGTGAAGAAGCTCCATCCCTTGGGAGGGTTCCCAAGAAGGATAAATCCAAATTGGTCATGACCCTTGTAAAGCGCTCGTAGTCTTGAGTAAGTGCTCCTTGGTACAGAGTTATTGTGCTAGTACCAGACCAGCAGCGGAAGGTCTCAGACAGTTCAGAAGGGGGCCTTGCGAGCTCCTCCAAATACGGAATTCCCGCACCCTTTACTGCAGAAGCCAGGGACCACAGGATCCGACTCTGGAGGTGCAACCTCTCTTTCCTTCCTGAACACTCAGTTGGTGGTGATGCGAACACTGCGGCAACCTTACCAGTAGCGGCAGCCCATAGGAGGACTTTCCAAACGGACCCTGGCTTAGTCAAATCCCAGCCCCTTCCCCCCTTTTGCAGAAGATCAATGGGGAGGAACATCATTCCAGCCTCAGCACACCATTGGGCAATCGGATCTTCAGGCCTTGGCGGCCCTGAGCACAGGTGCACTACCCAACTGGGGTTTGCTAGGAGGGCACGCCTAGAAGCTCTCTTTAGAGGAACCCCCTTTAGCATTGCCCTACCAACATCTACCCCACCTATAGGTATTGACTCTGCAAGATCCGCAAGCAGGGCCTCTGGTACGCCTTGTAGGTACGGTTGGGCGAGGATGGCAGATAGGAGATCACACCTTTCTCCTGTCCTTGCATACCTGCTAAGTGCCTCTGTGGGATCCGGTGGGGCCATAGTGCCCTGAATACAGCACTGTAAAGTATCCACCTGTTGTCTTAGCTGGTCCAGGCGTCGCTGCTCAAGTTCCGCGATGAGTTGGAGGGCTTGGGTTTCTTGCACATAGGGACACGTATTTCCCGACACTCCAGTCTGAAGTGTACCTAAGGTCGGGTGCAAGACCCTGAGTCCCTTACGTCTACTCCACGTCACCTGGCAGCCCAGGTGCTGGACCAAGGCTCCGAGCGGTAAGATAGTCTGACCCCGAGAAGCCTGCATGCTACCATCTTGACTAGGCGGGATTACCAACGTACCTCCCTGGGTTCTCCACCACTCTTCCTTGGCGTCACCTGCTAAAGTGACGGGCACACGATCTAGGCTGCCCAGGTCGGGGCGGTAGGGGACAACCGCATGCGTCGCCCCACTGTCCAGCAGGGCAGTGGAAATGGAAGGCATTGGTGGGCAACCCTCACAGACCTTAGCCTCATACCTTTCCACAGTCTTGCGTAGGCAGGCCTGGTCTCGGATCAGGCTCTCCAAACTACTCTCAATTTCCCCATAAGGATCAACCCTACAGGTGCGGACCTCTGGGTTCCCTACCATGGCTCTCAGATTATCCAACTGGGCACTCAAGGAAGCCAATGTTACCGGGGTGCCCTGCACCATGGTTGGTGCCGCTGCCTTAGGAGTGCTCGTGGCCGGAGAAGCCGGGATCGGCTGGGCCCCCGCATTTGGAGAAACCTGGCTGCATCGGCCAGCATACTCTTGATATGCTGACCTCCGTCGCTCGATGGGGCCTGAGCCTGCGTCGAGGGAGCATCGTCTGAGGTTCCCTTTGGCAAGTTCGGCGCTCTTTGAGGTCGGGCCTTAGGCTTATCATCAGGCTTTGTTCCAGCCTTACAGTCCGCAACCTTATGGGATTTTGATCCGCATGCCTTGCACCTTGCAGCCTTCTCAGCTTGACTGAAGGCAGCCCAGTTATGTTCAAACTTGCATTCACTGCCTTTCTTACAGCCATTGACCCCAGTATAGAAAGTGCATGGCACCCTTCCTGTGCCTTGGCCAGGCTGCTCACCGCTCTTAGGGTTGGGAGGTCCCTTAGGGCTCGACTTTGGAGGTTTTGGCGGCCTTCCCCCTGGGGAATTATCATGTGGGGTCTGCGCCTCTACACCCTTTACCTTTGCAGGAGTAGGAGGTGGGGTTGCTTGGTCCTTAGGTGCCCTTTCACGATCCTTCTCACCACGATGAGCCATCGACTCTAGTTCACTTAACATCCGTGCATGGAGTTTGGCTACTTTGTCACTATCCGGAACCAAGTCAACCTGAAGTTCGGCCCTGGTCAGATTGATTCGGAACGCAGCATCCGGATGTTGGGACAACACTCCACGGGTGATCTTCGTGAGTGCTCGGATCTGAATAGCACTGTCAGGTAACACACCACCGAGCTCCGTCATGCGCCCGCACCAGCGCTTCCATCGTCTTAGCGCTTCTATGGAGTCAAAGACTCCAGTGCAAGCCGGGGGGTCTGAGATATGCTTGAGGCCCAGTTCGCGTTCCGTTATACTGCCAGGACCGTATATTACAAACAGTTTGCTGACAAGCGGGAGAAGTCCGGAGGTCCTAGAGGCCGAGACTTCCTCGCGAACGGGATTTGGGCACGCAGCATTAATCATAGACTCTATACGGCGTGAGACTCGGGCCCACTTTGGTTGGCTCAGTTCGGCGGAGGGCTTAGGCTTAGAGGTTAAGCGTTCTAGGGGTCCTAACTTCAAATAGTTTGCGTACCATGCATTCGCTTCCTCTAAGGTCAGTTCCCATAACCGCTCCGAGGTATCGCTGACATCTGCCAGCGCCGGCTTGGTCACATGTAGCCAATCAGCGAAGGCTAAACACGACTCAGGGCTATGGCTCGGGAGTTCTGGCAACGACAGTACCCCTGGTTTGATAACCTCTGGTTTCTCTGCGGCCTTCGGGCTTGCCAACTCGCTCACTACGCTCTGAAGCTGGGCCATACCCGTAAGCACAATACTCATTGGATCCAGCCCTGGCGAGCTCGCACCTCCTTCCGCTGGATGCGGTGACGCCCCGGTTGGGGCTGTAGTACCTGCCGGGGCTGTTGGATTCGTAGAGTATTGCGGCGCTTGGTTCAGTGGCTCGGAGGGATATGTTGGCATTGATGGGCTCTCCTCCTGTGAGTTCACAGGTACACAGGGTTGAACTGGAGGCCTCGGAGGGTCTTGGGGTGCTTCGGGACTCATTAAGGGTTGAGCTACACCCCTATTCCCATATAGAGTATCCTGGGGTGTCTCAGGGATCGTTGGCACTCCTACAGGACTAGGCGGTGGACCTAAACCACTAGGACCCCTAGGGTTGCGGGAGGCGCCATAGCCATTGCTAGGGTCCTGCTGCAATGCCTGGAGTGCCTGAGTCTCCTGATGCGCAAGAGCCGAAGGCTGGTGGTAAAAGTCCAGGACCTGGGGCGGTGCAGGTGGCTCAAAGGGAGGTCTTGGAGGAGTCCCTCCATGGGCCGAATCCAGGCCACGAAGGGAACGCGAGGGGCCCATCAGAGATCCCAATCCTCTTCCAAACCAACCAAAGCTAGGAAACCCAAAACTCCCATAACCCTCAGGTCTTGAATACTGCGTGGGTTCCTGTACACCAGTTTCAATCCTGAGCCTCAGGCTCTGGTTTTCGTAAGACAAAGCTTCTACCTGGGCCCTAAGTCTTCTACTCTCCTCATCTCTGAGCCTCATCATATCTGACAACTGGCGTCGTACCTCTGCTTGCAGGTCACTCGACGTGGCCGACGGTGGTCTTGGAAGCGCCGGGGAATCACTCGGATACAAGAGGGGAGCTTGTTCCTGCATCCTCTGAAGTCGTTCCAGGGCTTGCTGATCAAATAGGCCACCCTGAGGAATTCCTCCTTCCAAAGGGGGAACCGTAGGTCCAGCTCCGGGATTCGACGTCCGGACAGATGCATACTCCACGCTATCATCCGGTCTTCCACCTGACGCTCCAGCTGACCGCACTGAAGCAGCTCGAGTCACCATTGTCTCCACGGTGGCGGGCAGTGTCTGCACTGCTCGCATCATGCCAGACAGCACTCCAGTAACCTCAGGGCCTTCTGCTCTAACTTGTCCTCGAATTTCCGTCAGAACTGTTCCCTGCGCGGCCGGGGTTGCTTCTCCAGCGTTAAGCTCCTGGGTCTGAGTTCGCTCAGACCTGGTCTCCTGTCCCTCTGGGCCAACCAAGAATCCACGTCCAGCTGTTCCAGTCTGTGGAATTGTCGGAGCAGCCGGGATACTTCCTGGCTGCCCACTCAGGTGGGCTCGCAGAGGTTGGGCTGCTGGGCCGAATGTCATTGGCGACGATCTCACTTCGTCGTCAATGTCACTTGGTCCTCGGAGGGGAGCTTGGACTCCATTCATCAAAGGGGTCTGCGCCCTCTCCTCCGGTGTCGGCGCGGTAGCAGCGCTTGGGCTACTCATAACCTGTTGACGATCAGGAAGATCTCGAAGATTTGGGTTTGTAAAGTCGTTCGTAGCCATGTCGTAGTCGAAAGTGGTTCTACTTCTGAGCAGACCGGGTGGGAATCACCATGGGCTTACAGCGAACGCTTTGTTTCTCTACGCGACGGCAACACGAAGTGCTGTTCTTTGAACTAGCCTGTGCTAGTGCTACCTTGCTGGCTTCTGCCGATCATGCTGGTTTCTGCCGATCATGGCAGTTCGCATGGAGCTCTGCTCCAACTTCAGCCTTCAGAGGCTGCGGAGAAGCGGTACATCTACCTGCATCTACAAACCCTATTAATTACAGATCCCGATTGTAAATCCCTTATAGAAGTGGGAGGCCGAGATCCCTGTCTCCCCCACCAACCCTCAGGACGGCCTAGCACACGCAAGCAAAGAACATACAAAACTCTTAGCCCAAAGCCCCAAACTCTCCTAAACCCTGAACCCTCCTAAACCCTCAACCCTAAACTCTCCTAAACCCTGACCCCCCCCCTAAACCCTCCCACAGTCAGAGGACCGGGCCCACGGAGCCGGATCTGAACGTGCTGCTGCCAGCCCAAGTTCCCGCAAAGCAGGTCGGCGGTGGCGCCTCGGAGTGTCGGGAAAAAAAGAGGCAGGGCTTCGTCGGGGTTTAGGGTTGAGGCCGCTCAGGCTTCAGGTTAAAGAGCTTTGGGGCTTCATTACGGTTCATGAAATTATAGGGTGCAGAATTGGTACCACCAGGGGTTTCGGGGACTTGGTGGATTCGAGAGGGGGGTGGGGTTTCAGTTCGGGGTACCGGGTAACGTCAAATTGCCTGGTTCCTCAGGCGGCTTCGCACAAGACATCACATCTATGATGTGCAGGGCTGTGACGCAAGCATTCTATACAAATAAGTATTCTGTCGGTTTTTCTAGGACCCAAGCCTGAAACTGATCTCGTTAATCTAGTGACTCAACCTAAACCACGACGCTCACGGCACAAGCCTCGGACAAATCCTCGTGGCTTCGATTACAGGGCTGTAGTCTTTACAGTATTCCAGCTTTAGGGTTAAAGGTTTACGGAGAAACCCTTGTCCGAACCTAAAGCTTGGGTATGGACAGGTAGCGGAAGCTTTTGCAAAGATGCCAAGGAACGAAATCCGGTCTGGCACTGCAGCATGCACACCTGGCGGCAGGGCAGCGAGTAGTCCGCAATCAGCTACAAGTATGCGGTTTCCTGAAGATGAGGTTTCTTTTCGTGAGTCTTTACCTCGAGATCAAGCTGCCCAACCAACCATTAACAGTAACAACGTTAACGACAAGGAGCACCAGCACCAGTACCACCATGACGATGACCGCGATCACGACCGCAAGGACAACACTATGATCTTGCAAGTGGGATCGCCGGATTTCGGGATCCTGTAAGGAATGCACAAGTTGCATCAGCCGTGACAACGCGGGTGTTTTCCAGAGGGTTTGCCAATCACAGCGATTGAGATCAAGGCGATCCGGCCCCGGCTTCGAAGCAAAAAAGGTATCACAGAACAATCAGAGTGTCAGCCTTTTGCAGAATCGCTTGCGATTGTTGTATTCATACTGGAATCCACTTCCCATGGAGCCAGCGGCAAAGAGCGAGGATGAAATCGATCATGTACAAATGTACAAGCCCCGAACCTCATCCTTAGAACACATAAACTGATCTGCAGTGCGGAGGATCCCGAATTGAAGATGCCATAAAAGAGAACAGGAAACTGCACACAATCAAACCACAACCACAGCCGCAGCCACAGCAATCACACCCACAATCCCAACCACAACAGCAGCAGCAGAAGTAACGAAAGCAGCAGGGGCAGGAGGAGCAAACAGCAACAAAAGTAAGAACCACAAGAAGTTTTAAGATGGGCCCGGCAAATTCTCCGGCCTTGCCGTAGCGTAGACCCGTGCAAGCGTCGAGGCTTTGGGGAACGGCATTGGCGATGCTGCCTGAGGTCTCAATGCTTTGCGGTTGAGCTTGTTAGATGTCCGTTCTCGGGTCCAGTGGTCTAGGCCCTAGGCTTTAAGGCGTAGGTTTCCGCTTCAGGATCTACATTGCATCTACAGCGCAATGCCAAGGGCTTGCCGTGTTGCGAGTCGAATTCAGAGGGGCGGGTAGAGGCCGTGTTCGGCTTTCATAAAGGAGGTATAGGGTGCAGAT